GCGTGGGAGGCGGGATTCGAACTCGGCCCCTCTGGACTCCAGGCCCGGCGCTCTGTGCCTTGAGGCACCCCCTAGCGGCCTCCTCGGGGCAGCCTCCCCTAGAGACTGGGACTGGACCTTGGAGGCTAGCCTGGAGTCCCAGGGCCGGGGCCGGGGGGCTCCTCAGTGTCCACCCTGGGGTCACACAGCAGGGCTTCATCGCCCTTCACGGCCCCTCCCCTTGTAGTCAGGACCAGGGTTCGAATCCTGGTCTAGCTGCATTTGTCTCCGTGACCTTGGACAAGTCACACCCTCTGTGGGCCTCAGTTTCCTGATCTGTATAATCGGCCCCTCCCCTCTTAGACACTGTGTTGTGAGAACGCTCAGGGAAGAGACACAGTCCCTTTATGGTTGGAGGAGGTATTGTGCACAGTGTTAGCTCAAGGGAGGGGGAGGGCCTGGTGGGATCCCTACTTGGCAGATGAGGAAACCGAGGCAGGCAGAGACTTGCTCAGAGTCCCCCTGCTAGGGAGTGTTCTCAGGCTTGATCTGCACCAGCATCTTGTGCCCCTCACGGGGAGACTTGGAGAGAGCTTCAAAGTGGGGAGCAGGCAGCTCATGTTGGGGGGAGGGGGTGAGCCATGAACTTGGACCTAACAGAGTTGGGATGTGCCCATCCCCACCACTGTCCCGGCTGGGGTCAGAGAGCTTCCGTGTCCCGTCTGTGCAATGGAGGCTCTGGGGGCTGCAGGCTTGCAGTCCCTGGGGGGAGGTGACACCCTGTGCCTTCTCCCTGCAGAACTGTTCCCGGTGCAGATGGAGGGTGTGAAGCTCACGGTGAACAAGGGCCTCAGTAACCACTTCCAGGTGAGCCCTCGGTCGGGTGGGGGGGGGCAAAGAGGAGGCCAGCCTGACAAGCCACTCAGGCCCCGTGTTCCACCACCCCAGGTCAATCACACCGTGGCCCTCAGCACGATTGGAGACTCCAACTACCACTTTGGGGTCACATATGTGGGGACCAAGCAGCTCAGTCCCACAGAGGTAAGTGGTCCCGCCAGTCCTGGGCCTCTGAACCCACCAATTCCTGGCTCTTCTCACCCGGGGAAGCTCCCACTGGTCCCCCACCCCCTTACACCTCTCCGGCCCACAGGCCTTCCCGGTGCTGGTGGGAGACATGGACAACTGCGGGAGCCTCAACGCCCAGGTGATCCACCAGGTGGGGCCTGGCCTCCGATCCAAGATGGCGGTGCAGGTAAGTGTGGGGGAGGCCTGGAGGAGCGCTGGAGCCGCCTCGCCGGCTTGGCATGTCCACTGGGAGCCCTGAGCTCCCGAGTCGAGCAGTGAGCAGTCCGTGTCTCCCTCCCCAGACCCAGCAGTCAAAGTTCGTGAACTGGCAGGTGGATGGAGAGTACCGGGGCTCCGACTTCACGGCCGCGGTGACCCTGGGAAACCCCGATGTACTGGTGGGCTCAGGTGAGGACCCCTGTCACCTCGTGGCCATCCGGCCGCTCCTCCAGGATGGTGGGGAGGTTTGGGCGGTCCTGGGTGTTTCTGTCTCATGTCTCCTTCCTTATTCAGTGTCTGTTTCTGCCCTGTCTCAGGAGGATGGGGGTGCAGTGCCCTTCTCTTGGTTTGTGTTCTTCTGTCACCATCCTCCCTGGTGCTGGGTCTCTCTGAGAGTGTGTGTGTCCGTGTCTCTCTCCCCCCCCCCCCCGTCTCTGCATCTTTGCTTTGTTTCTCACAGTGACGCTCGCTGAGGGAGGTGGGGGCAGGCAGTGTCTCTCTCCTAGAGGGTGGCTGTCTTTAGGTCTGTCTGCGTCGCTGTGGGAAGGGCAAGGACCCGAGGAGAGATGCTGCTTTCTCTGGGGCCTGGTTCGGGAGGGAGGGAGGGAGGACAGTGCCATGAGGTGACTCGTCCCCCTGACCATCCCCAGGAATCCTAGTGGCTCACTACCTTCAGAGCATCACTCCATGCCTGGCCTTGGGCGGGGAGCTGGTTTATCACCGCAGGCCAGGAGAGGAAGGCACCGTCATGTCACTGGCAGGGAAGTACACAGGTATGAGGCTGGGCTCTGTGTTCGAGGGCAGGGCAGCCACAAAGCCTCAAAATGCTTGATGATTCTTGTCTCTCTTCCCCAGCACCTAACTGGCTGGCAACCTTGACTGTGGGCCAGGCGGGGGCCCATGCCACATATTACCACAAAGCCAGTGACCAGGTAAGGGCGAAGTAAGAGCAGGGAAAGGGGCTGGAAGGGGCGGAGTAGGGACTCCCAGACTGACTCTCGTGGCTTTCTCCAGCTTCAAGTCGGAGTGGAGTTTGAAGCCAGCACCCGAATGCAGGACACTAGTGTCTCCTTCGGCTACCAGCTGGATCTCCCCAAGGCCAACCTCCTCTTCAAAGGTAGCCGCTTCTACAGCCTCCTCAGGACCTTTCCCACCACTGACTCCCCTGGGGGGGTGGTTAGGCTTCCCCAGGGCCCTCTGGCACCTCCCGCCTGCTCTGTCCCTTCACGTACCCCATCTCTCCCTTTCATCTTCCCCAGGCTCCGTGGACAGTAACTGGATCGTGGGGGCAACCCTGGAGAAGAAGCTGCCCCCCCTGCCCCTGACGCTGGCCCTGGGTGCCTTCCTCAATCATCGAAAGAACAAGTTCCAGTGTGGCTTTGGCCTCACTATCGGCTGAGCCTGCCGCACCACCCATCCCGCCCATCCCTCCGCTCCCGGGCAGGGCAGAAGGAGGGGTGCCTGAGGCTCCCAAAGGCTGGGAGAGGGGGAGACCCCAGGATCTGGGGAGACCTTGGGCCTGGCCAGGAAGACTCGGGTTTTTGGAGAGGCACTTCAGAATACTGGAAGACCGATCCCCCTGGCCCCTTTCCCCATTCCTGGAAGGGGCTCTAGGGTCTAGGAGACCTAGGTGGGAAGGACTATGGCGGAGGGTCCTCAGGGTGGGGCCTGTCTCCTTCCTCGTGGTGGAGCTGGGCTGCTGAGAGGGCAGCGTGGGCTGGGTGTCCCTGCCCTGCCTCCCTGGTGGCCACAGGAGGGGGTCCATCATCCTAGCCGTTGTCACCCCCCACCCCCCCCAGCCCAGTTCCGTCCATTCCCCTCGGCCTCTCCCTCCCTTTTCCCCACCAGCCCCTCTGCTGTCCCCCTCAGTGTAAATCATGTTTATAAGTTATGGAAAAAAACAGAACATTTTACAGAAAAAAAAACCCACAAAAATACATGGCTAAAACAGTGAGTAACTGGGAGGGGGTGCCATCTGTACACATGGGGGTCCCCGTGCTCTCCTAGCTGTCTGTCTCTTCCCTCCTTCAGATGACATCATAGATGGCCTTGCTGTCTGCCCACTTTCTTCCCCTGTCCTCGAGGCTTTCTGTGTGCCCGGGCAGCTCTTCCCCTTGTCTGCACATGGCTGGGATAAATAAAGCTGCTGGTGCTGGATGCAGCCTGAGGACCCCTCTTCAAATCCTGGCCCTTCCACTTCTGCCTATAATGGCTGCTTTAAATGCCTGCCTCCCCTTGCCTCTCTTCTGCCCTGGGCACTGGTACTGTGCCATTTCCCTGCCTCCCATGCCAATTTGGGAGAAGATCCTAACTTCAGTCTGTGACCTCTTGCCCCGTGATGACAGGATGGAAAGTGATGGACTTTGTCCTGGCCAAGGGAGATAGCTGGGTTCTTGGAGTGTGGTTTGTGGTACTGGAAGGTAGGATTGTGGGTCTTGGTTATTTGAGAAGAAACGGCAGAGCCTGGATGTCTGAGTGGAGGCTTGATTTGAGGCCCCCAGGAGCGCAGATGGGCCCTCGAAGAGCCATAGACCGGCTCCTTTCCCAGCAAGTCCTCGGACCCTTGGGGACTTGAACACACAGGCAGCATCTCTCTTTTCCAGGGCCTGACATCTCTGCCCATGCCCACTCTCTCAGGTCATTCTAGGTCATAGCCTTTCAGCCCATTCTGATCCCCAGGAAGTGGGAGCAGACGGCAGTTTCCTAACACTTATCTCTGAGCCAGCAGTTTGTTCCTCTTGTCTGAGTCTGTCTGGTGGTGGGGAGGGTTGAGGCTTCCGAGTCTGCAGGGCATCCTGTGGGCTAGGGGAAAGGTCATTTAGTAAGTGACCTGGCCCCAGGGCAGAACAGGACCCTGACATTTGAGATCCCCCCACCTCAAAAAATGTAAATGTATAACAGTGCCACCACCACGCTCCCCTTTCTCAGCCCCAAACAGTGGCATGTTCCCCTTCCTCGGCCCCCCTTAGTCTTGAGATGCTCAGGCTTTGGGGCCCTTGGTCCCTTCACCCCTTTACATTGAGGATGTCAGTTCCCCCTGACTGCTAGTCTGGGGCTCCCAAGTTCTAGGATTCATGGAATGGCACCCCACAGATACAGGCATCTGTGTCATCACCCTGACCCCACCCCTTCTCCGAAAACAGACTTGGGCCTCTGGGCCTGAAGCCAGCGTTCCCCTGGTGTGTCAGTGACCCCTCATATGCAGGGATCTGGCCCCACACAAAACAGCCTTTCAAAGACCTGGACCCCACCCTTCCCGCAGCCCCGTGTTCCGGGCCGAGAGCAAACACCACAGCTGGCCCGAGGATGTTGTCCAGGTCTCTGGTTTGTGTGCCCCACTGGGCTCCAGAAGGCCATTCTTCCTCCCCCTCTGCAACAGGTGCCGTGCCCCTCCCCCAAACAAAAGTAACCCTTATCCTAGTGTCTGGGTTCCTTTGTCAGCATCCCCCAGAGATGGAGGCCACCGGGTCTTCACCCCCTATTCCAGAATTCCATTTAGCCCTCCCGTGGGGAGCCCAACGATGGACATTCTCTGTCCAGTCCTTGGGACTGCGGGGAGGGATCAGGGCAGGTTAGGCGGTGAGAGGTCAGCTTCCCATCCCCAGGAGGGGCTGGAAGCTGAAGGGGGGGGGGAGTGGCCCTTGTGTACCTCCCCCAAAGCTTAGGGGGGTGACATGGAGGAGGGCCATGCTCTCCTCGTGACAGGTCCGCCCTGGCCCTGGAGGAGAGGGAGGGGGTAGAGCCCTATAACTGGAAGAGGGCCCCAAGCCCGGGTCCTACTCAGCCCAGGAGAGGATCTCTCTGACTAACACAGAGGAAGGCCCAGCTGACCAGCCCAGGCCAAGGTAAAGGAACCCCAGGGGACAGGCTGTGAGGATGGGTGAATAGAAATACAGGCTTGGGGAGCCTTGGACTCGCCTCAAACCAGCCGCGAATTGGCTCCTTGCCTTGCAGCAGCTTCAGTGTTCCCATCTGTGGGCTGTGGATAAAGACTGCTCCGGCTCTGACATTCTATGTCAATGCACATAGTGGGGAAAGCTGCATTTGGAGTGAGGTCCTGGGTTCAAATGTCACCTCCGCTGCTTAAACCTGTTTGACATGGGGCTAGTCACTTACCTCATCTGTAGAATGATGACAGTTTCCTTCATCTAGCCAATCCCAGATCCTAAGAGCAGCAGCTCCTGTAATATCCCTTACAGGGGAGACAGACTTCTGGACGGGACTCTGGCTGAGCAAGAGAAGTAGAGACATAGGAGAGCCCACGGGATTGGGGAACAAAGGACAGAAATCTCGGGTCTGGGTGACAGCAAGGAATGCATGGGTCCTGAGAATGAAAAATGGGTGTGAAGGGTAGCAGCATCTGAGAACCCCCCAGATTAGGGAAGGGAAATCGGCAGCCTTCGCACATCTAACAGCGGACCAGCTGGCCAGAGTCAGAGCCTCAGGGTTCAAAGCCTGCCTCCGAGGGTGCCTGCTCCTACAGGGCACGTCTTTGCAAGGCACTGGACCACCCTTTTTGCTCCTCTGGCAAACAAGGGGTGTAGATAACCTAGGTGGTTCTCTGCTCTTTCCAGGTCTAGGATTCTCTTCAAGGTTGGATGATGTTGGGCAATTTCCTTTGCCCCTCTGAGTAGGAGATAGGGTCATGTTTATCTAGCGGCACCCCTTGGGTCTTCTGGAGACAATGGAGGAGATTAGGATTTTGAATGGAAGAAATGGAATTCAGGACGTGGGAGGGCTTGAACTTTAGAATCCAAATTTGAGGAAAAGAGCAACAATGGGGAGAGCTTAAGATTTAGAATGCCCCAGGTATGGAACCTAGGCTCCCTAACAGAGATAAATGTAGTGAGGTTAGGAGTACAGAATTTAGGGGGCAGCTGCTTCCCCTTATCTGTTGGTGGGAGTTGACTGATGGGATTAGTGGGGGAAGATAGAAAAGAGAGGTGGTCACTGACTTCAGCCAGACCTCTCTCTGCCCTAGTCAGACCGATCACCAGCTGTGCTGTGAAGATGAAGCTCCTGTGGACCTTATGGGCATTGGCAGCCCTCTTGACTGGTATGCCCTCTCCCTGGACCTCTGCGTTCCTGCTCTCCGCTGTCCAGCATCAGTCTTCCCTCTCCCCCTCAATATCTGCCCCAGCGGCCCCTTTAATCTGTCCCCCTTAATCTTTCACTCTGTTCTCATTCCCACTGTCTCCTCCCTTTTCCAGGATCTGCCTGTCCTTTCTCCAAACTTGCTAAGTCCTCCCCACCCTCCTCTCCCACTCAGCCCCTGTGAGCTGGTTCCCTGGACACTCATGTCCATGTATCTGCTCCTCAGGCTGCCGGGGGGAAGATGCCAAGACTTCTTCAGAGGAGCAAGTTACAGAACCAGAACTCTGGAACTCGGAGCCAGCTCAGGCCTGGGAGATAGCCATGGGCCGCTTCCGGGGCTACCTGGACCGGCTGCAAACCCGGGTTGAGGACCTGCAGAGTGAGGTGCAGAGTTTCCAAATAGTCAAGGACCTGAGGTGAGGACGATTCCCACCATGACCCCACCATGCCACTCAGGTCTCCCCTAACCCTGCCTTGTAAATCTCAGACCCAGGGGTCCATCCCCAGCTGTGGCCCTAACCCAATCCCTCATCTCCACTTGTCCAAGAAAATGGAATGTAACTGAAGTTGGCCTCACTGGCTCCTGCCCACCAGCTGTATCTTTGCCTCTAACAGAGGTTCATCTGTCTCCCTTTCCCATTCTCCTTCTGTTTCTGCCTTTGGTTCCCTGTTTCTATCTCTTCTCTATCCCCACCTTTCTGGGTGCCCACCACCACCCCGTATGTCTGTCTCCTTCCCAGTTTAATGCAGTGGACAGAGGTGGATTTGGAATCAGAGCCCTGGGCTGGATTCCTGCCTCTGCCTCTTAGCTATGTGACTACGGGTGAGTGCCCTCACCTCCCTGAAGGACTTACTTCCTTCATCTGGAGATAGGATCACCTCCAGGCGCCACTCCAACTTTAAATCTGCTCCCTGCAGGGGTCTTATGACAGACACTCTGACAGAGCTGAATGCTTACAAGGCTGAGTTGGACCAGGAGCTGACCCCCGTGACTGAAGAGACCCGGAATAAGCTGACCAAGGAGCTCACAGCAGCCCAGGCCCGCCTCAGGGCTGACATGGAAGATGTGGGGTCCCGCCTTGCCCAGTACCACCGAGAGTTCCATACGGTGGTCAACCATAACATAGATGAGGTCAGAAACCGGATATCCGCCTACCTGAGGAAGATGAAGAAGCGCATTGGACGTGACTACGAGGAGCTCCAGACCCGCATGGACACGTACCAGGCTGGCGCCAAGGAAGGCGTGGAGAGAGGGCTCGGCTCCCTGAAGCACCTGGCCCCCCTGCTGGAGCGAGTCCAAGAGCAGAACAAGAAAAGGATGGCCAGCCTGGGCACCCTGGCAGGGGAGCATCTGCAGAGCCACCTGGACCAGGTGCGCAGCCGAATGGAGGAGGTCAAGACCAAGGTGGACGAGCAGTCGGCCCAGCTGCAGGCTCAACTTCAGGGCTTTCACGACCGCCTGAAGGCCTGGTTCCAGCCCCTGACCACCGACCTGCAACGCCAGTGGACGTTGCTGGTGGACAAGGTTCAGGAAGCCATCAATCCCAATGGGAAGCTAGGAGACGCACCCGATACTCCCCTCAGTGACAACTGAAAGCTCCCTAGAGCCCTCCATGGGTTCCCCGTAGTTCACCCTGTCTCCTGCCTGGGAGGCCTCCTGTCCTCATCCACCAGTGGACCCTCCCCTGTCCTCCCCTCAACCTCCAGCAGATGAGGATGCTCCAGTCCCCCCCCTCACCTCCGCAGGGCAGGCCAGTGCGCTCCAGGGCTCTGGCCCTCAGCCCCTCTACTACCCTTGGGAGATGGGGTCAGGTGGGGGGGCTACATGTAGTCTAAGCTCAGGCCAACAATAAAGTGAAAGCTTGCTTGTGTGCAACAACTGATTCCGTGTGAGTCTGTCGGGGGAGGTGAGGACAGGCTGGATCTCTGCCCTGTCTCATGCTTTCATTGAAGTGACTCAAGATAAACCCGTTCCTCTTGCCTGTTTTCTCTGCTTGGGTCTCTTGTCTCCTTTGGCTATCACATCAGCCCCACAGACACACAGCCCCCACCCCCTCTCCTCTCTGCTTCTCTCCCTTCTTCCTTCCAAGATCTCCCTCTCTTCTCCCTTCCCCCTCCTCTGTCTGCTGCTCTCTCCTACGCCCCCTTCTCTGGGTCTCGACTACAACTTTCTCACCCCTCTGGGTCTCTCATTTCTCCAGCAAGTCTGATCTGCTTGAGCTAAGTGGGGGTGGGGAGGTCAGCAAGGCAGAAGCCTCCCTGGGGTCTCGAGCCCCAGATTTGAAAGCAGGGGAGAGGTCGCCAGAGACAAAGATGTGGGAATCCTGGGAGAAGAGCAAGGTGAGAGGGGAAGGTAGGGGAAAGGCCTCTCCTTCTGTGGCTTACCCAACTTTTTCTCCTCCCCCCCAACCTCTTTGGAAATTCCAGTGACACAAGCCCCCCCACCTCCTCCTAGTCCCCAGCCTTCCCCTCCCAAATCCTATACCCCTTACCCTGGGCACTGGTGGGGTGAAAGCATGAGAGTTGAGGGTTTCCCTTGCCACCAGAACCCCTGGAGACTCCCAACCCAGGCATTTTACAGAGCCGGAGAAACCTTGTGTGGGAACTCTGGAATACCTTTAACTACAGACCATCAAACCAGAAAGGGAGTCAGGGGTTTAGAGGGGCTAAAAAGAACCTTAAGGCTCACCTAGTCTAACCTCCCCATTTTTCACATGAGGAAACAGGCTTAAAGCATTTGACCCCATAACACGCACGGATTGGAATCCAGGTCCCTTCCCCCTCTCCTTACCCCCTTCCAGTGGGCCCCAATTCCTCTGAAGAGTGGCCATTCCCACCCCCCTCATTTTACAGAGAAAGAGGCCCAGAGAAGGGCAGAGATTTGGCCAAGGTCAGCCTGGGGCTGGAATTCAGATCTCTTTGATTCCTAAAGCCCTGCTCATCTCTTTGAGGCTGCTAAGTGCCCGGAAGGTTTTGCAGAGCTGAGGGGCTATTTGTTAGACACAAAAGCAGGGACTCCTCCACCGCCCCAGCCCAGCCCAGGGAAAGATGGTCACACTCCTTGGCTGTACGTACTTAATGCCTGGCGTCGGAGCTCTGAGGGGACTTTCCGGAAGCTGGGGAGGTAGAGAGCCCTGAAATGGGGGGGTGGGGGGAGGAGTTGAGGAGGAAGGAACTGGGGAGAAAGGTGAGAAGCCCTTCGGCCTTTATTTTTCTGGCCTCATTTGGGCAAGAAAGGGGAACTGAGGCTGGCCCCGGGGATGAGAGATAAGCGACTTCGTGGGACCGTTGCTGGCCCCCTTTGGTTCGGAAGAAGGGCTCTGAGCAGACTAGGCGCCCAAAAGCTGGAAGGGATGGAGGGGTGCAGTGGGAGGCTTGGGGGGGGCGGGCACACCATAATGCCAAGCCTGCCCAGAAGCCCAGTGCAGTCCTACAACGTTCAGGGTGAGCGCTTGAGAGCTTTCCATCCCCTCCCCTCCGTGGTCCAGAGGAGGGGAGGAGGGGGACGAGGGCTCAGCCAACCCGGAGGCTCGGCTCGCGGCCGCCCCCTCCGTGGGCCGCCAGGGTCAGTGGCGGTCAGCGCGGGGGGCGCCCGCAGCCGGAGATGCCCGCGAGTAACCCCGTCAGCCTTGGCTCCCGAAAGGGCCACGGAGCTCGAGGAGCAGAGGGAGGGGGCGGGGACAGGGTGGGAGGACAGGGAGCCGGAGGGATGGGGAAAGAATAGCCGCGGTAGAGGAGGAAGGGCTGGAATGGGGAGTGTGGGGGGTGAAGGGATTAGAACTTGCGAGTGAGTTGGGGAAGAGGGTGAGCATCCCAGAACCCCGGAGGGAAAGGGAGGGATTGGTCTGTGCGCATCTGTGGCCACGGGAGAACTTTGGGGGAGGAGAAGCAAGAAAGGGTCCTGAGGGAAGGGAGGATGGAAGGGAGGGGGTGTGTCAGAACAGGACCGAGTCCCCAGTCCTCATCTCCCCCTGAGTTATAAGCCCCCTTTCCCGTTTTAAGGTCACCCCTTTCCTCCGAAGAGATGAGGGGAGGGTGATGGTGAAAAAGAGAATACTTTGGGGAAACAATGAGGACTTTCAGAGGTGGAGAGGGGATGGAGATGAAGAGGGAGGTGGAGGGAGCAGGGGCCTTGGTTGCTATAGCGAGGGGAAGGGGAGTTTCAGGAAAGGGGAAGGGAGAAGGGAAGAGGAGGAGGTGTGCGAGGACCGCTCCCCCTGGGGTGGATTATACAACTCCAGTCGCCTGTGAATTCCAATTCCCCCTTCAAGGTGAACTGTTAAGGAAAGGAGGGAGGGCAGTGAGAGTGGGAGACTGGGGGGGGGGCTGAGAGAGGAAAGGGGGAGGATGATATCCCAGTGGGGGAGATTCAGGGTCCAGAAGCACCTGAGGAGAGAAAGGAGAGGGTACTTGGACTGTGACCTCTGTTAAGATGAGGGGTGACCCAGGGAAAAGATGGGAGGGAAGAAGCCCACAGCTAAGAGAGTCTGATGTCCTCTCTCTCTTATTTTTCAAGTCCCTCCCCTGGGATTCTAAGGCTAGCCCTCTCCCCAGGTCTCCTTTTCTGTAGACGAGTAGTTGTCGTTAAGTTGATTGAGTCATGTCCAAAATTCTTCATGAGCCAACTGGGGGTTTTCTTGGCAAAGACACAAGCGGTTTGACATTTCCTTCTCCAGCTCATTTTACAGATGAGGAAACGGAGGCAAACAGGGTGAAGTGACTTGCCCAGGGTCACACAGGTAGTAAGTGTCTGAGGCAGATTTGAATTCAGGTCTTCCTGACTCCAAGCACAGTGCTCTCAAGTGCCAGGCACTGCGTGGGCCACTAGAGGTCTAACCTGGACATTTTTGAGTGTGAGGTGGGGAGAGATGTGGGAGGGCTGTGAAAGGTCCTAGCGTACTATAGCCCTGAGGGGGCCGGAGAGGTAGAGGAGGGCTGGGTATTGGGTTAGGAAAGCCAAAGGTGTGGGACAGAAAGGGAGGGAAGGAGGGGACCTGGAGCTGGGTCTTTGGGGCTCCCAGATGGATTTGGATAGGTCCCACCTCCTGCCTCAGGGGAGGGAGGAAAATCCAAGAGCCAACTGGTAGGTGGAGGCTGAGCGGGAGGAGGGAGGAGGGGGGAGAGAAAGGTGAGGTTTCAAACTCTCCGGGCCCCTCCCCCAGCCCTCTTATAACTAAAGGTCCCTGGACCCTCCCACCCACACCCAACTCAGCCTGCCAGGTCCCAGTTCTGTTCTGTAAGTGTTGACCAAGGTGCGGAGGAATTGGAGAGGGAGGAGAGTCTCTGGGGAAACAGGGGGCCCCTGGAGAAGCCACATGGCAGAGGGGCAGGTATCCCAGGAAAGGAAGATTAGAGGAAAGGGGGGGGGTACCTGAGAAAGGAGACTGTGTGGGAGGGGAAGGATCCTGAGGGGGGACAGGGAGAGGACGAGAAGGATGAGTCTCTGGGAAGAAGGGGACCACCAAAGATCTATAGGCAGAGGGACCCTGCTTGTATGGGGTGGGGAGCTGGGAACATCTTAAGCTTTCTATCTAGGGCCAACTCTTATTTATTTCAGAGATGGGAACCCGAAGGGAAGAGTTCTAGACCTCAGACAGATCAGGGTGGCTGGCTGGGAGTGGGAGGGAGCGTGAGAGGCTCCTAGGGGACGGTGCAGGTGTAAAGAAGGAAAAGAGATCCCGGGACAAAGGAGGAGCCCTGGGGGCAGGGGAAAGGGGGAGATTTGGGGGCTCCCTGGGGAGGTGGCTGGGATGTGAGAGGTCCAACAGGACAGTGACAGTGAGGGTAATTCCTGGTCCCTAGGACTGGGGAGCTCTGGTCCTCACCCGGCTCCCACTACACACCTCTTGGCGGAGCCCCGTCCAGCCCGTCATGAAGCCATTTCTGTCCTTCACTGTGCTGGCTGTACTTCTGTACTTTTTGGCAGGTATTCAGGGGGAAGGGTGATGGCTTGGGTTCCAATCTCCACCCCCTTCCCTGGGTTCTATGTTCCTTCTATCCCTTGCCCACCAGTATTCTATGACCAAAATCCATGAGTTCTAATGGTGTTCTCTTCAGCCAGGTTCTGATCCTGCCCCCAACTCTTACCCTCAATATTAAGGTCCTACACCACCCTGGGTTTGAGCTCCCCTCCCCCTCTCATGGTTCCGGCATCACCCTGCTATATTCAGATTCACCACACCTCCTCCTCCTACCCCCAGTTCTTGGGCTTAACCTCCTGGGTTCTACCTTCCCCCTCCCCATGCCTAGGTTCTGAGAGTACAATCCCCAGCCCATTCCGGGCTCCAAGGCCCCCCCTTTACTTCAGGCCTTCTAAGCAGTTCTAAGTGTTCAGGGGCACTCTGGGTCCATTCCTTTCCAGAAGGCCCCAGCCCAGCTCAGGCTTCCTCAAGTGTGGCAGAGGGCTTTGAACAGTTCCAGCATAAGGTGAAGGAGCTGGCGGACACTGTGGCTACCAAGGCCAAGGAGGCCATCTCTAAGATCCAGAACAGTGAATTCTCCACCAAAACTAGGTGTGGCCCTCCTCTTCCTTTTCCTTCTCCCCCTCCTCCACCTCTCCCTCCCTCCTCCCCCTCCTCCTCTACCTTTCCCTCCTCCCTCCAGTATCCAGAGTGGAGAAGTAGGTCAGCCTTCCTGGACCCTGTCCTCTAGGAGGGGAGAGAAGAGAGGCAGAGTTGGGTTCAAGTGAGGCCCAAAGGAAGGAGGGGGCCTTGAAGGACAAGAACGCACTGAGCAGAAGGGGAGGGTGTTTCTGGCTGAGCTTGGTTTGGAAGCGTGGGGGCAACCAGTAGGGGAAGGAGGGGATGGGGTCCGGTAGATATTTGGACTAGGAGATTAAGTTAGAACTTGAAGAATCTGGAGTTTGAGGGTGTCAGAGCTGGGAGGGACCTTCCAGATCTCTATCCCAGAGGTTCTTAACCTTTGCCATGGAACCTTCAGGCAATCTGGTGAAGCCTTCCCTTTGGAAGATGATATTATCCGAATAATGCTTTTAAATGTGTAAAACAAAAGACATAGTTTACAAAGGGAACAAATTATAGGTAGCTCACTATATTTTTGTTAAAAAAAAAGAAGTTCCCAGACCCCAGGTTAAGAACCTCTGATGTGGTCCCAGCCTCATTTTACAGATGAGGAAACTAAGTCTAAAAGAGGAGGGGTAAGTTCCTCACCCACAGGCATATAGTAAGGTTGCTAGTCATTGGGAGTCTATGGAGGTCATTTTGGAAGGGGTAGAGGTCTATTCTCTAGACCCCACTAAAGTCATAGTGCCCCTTTTCTCCACAGGAACTGGTTCAAGCACAATTTTCAGAAAGTGAAAGATAAAATGGATGCCACCTTCTCCAAGTAATGGCAGGAGGCTGAGTCTGAGGGCTCACCCACTGCTGGGCTGTGCTCTCCCAGAAGCCAGTATCCTTCCCACCTGAAGAAAGAGGCCTCTGAATGTTCCCCCTTCCTTCAGTCTGCTCCCTCCAGCCCCTGACCCTCTGCTCACTGACTCTAATATAATAAAGGTTTTACAGCCCCTGGTGTATGTGTGTGTGTATGTGTGTGTGACTGGTTTGGGCATGCTGGGCACAATGTTAATCACTCAGAGCATGAGCCTTCAGGTTGGCAAAGCTGGTTAGACACTTGTCATCTGATTCTCACAATAACCTTTTGGGGTAGGTCCTGTTACTGTCCCTGTCTTGTAGATGAGGAGTCTGAGGGTCTGACAGGTTGAGAGGGTCGCCCAGAAGCACATGGTCAATAAATGACTAAAACCATATTCCAGCCAGGTCTCCTTGATTCCTTATCAGGTGCTCTGGGGCTTGGTTTGCAGGTTCCAAGAGGAGACTTGGGAACACTGACAACCAGAATCCCAAAAAAGCCCACAGGCTGGAACCCTGGGCTAAAAGGAAAACAGAGAAAAGTAATCAGAGCAAATGTCAAGTTTGACTCGGGTTCAAAAAATCAATGGCACCAGTAGAAGATGGAGGAAGGTTGGTTAGACCACTATTCCCAGGAAAAAGATGTAAAGGCTTGAGAGGGCTGGGCTTCAATGAGAATGAACAGTTGAGTAGGTGTTGGGGATGGCTGCTTACGGAGGGAGACAACATCCACACTTGGAAATCCAGAGAAGCACATACAAAATGAACATAATGACTTTGGAGTGGGAGGAGGCACCAGCAGTTGAAGAAATTACAAAAGATCCTTGTGGCCCTTCAGCTGAGTTGAGCCCTGAAAGGGTCTCTCAAAAATGGGGCCTATACCCTGTGCAAGAGCATGCTTGGGATGGAGGAATGGCAAGGAGTTTGGCTAGACCGAGAAGTGTTTCAAGAGGAATAATGAATGAGTGACAAGGTTAGAAAGATAGGTTAGAGCCGGGTTGTGAAGGGTTTTGAATGTCAAATAAGCATTTACTTTTGGACCTAAAGGTGACAGGGAGAGAGGGGCAAGTGACGTGGTCAGAGCTGAGGTTTGGGAGAATCACTTTGGCAGCTTTGTGGGGGATGGCTTTGAGACTTAGCCAGACTGGAGGCACATAGACTAAGGAGGGGGTTATTACAATAGCCCAGGCCACCAGCGGGTGAGGACAGCCTGAACTAGGGTGGTGGCTGCTCTGGAGAAGAAGAGGACTGATGCAAGAGATAATGTGAAGGTATGATGGATAAGAAATGGTCATGGGTTGGATATGGGGGATAAGGAAGAGAGTAAAGAGTCAAAGATGACTCCAAGGTTGCAAACCTGCATGACTGGAAGGATGGTGGGGGTTCCCAAGAAATCTGACTCAAGATGAGTCAACAATATGATAAGGTAGCCAAGAAATCTAGGATGTTCTAAGGTTGTAGTAAGGAAGGACCCAAATTCAGGATCATTATCAATGAGATCTCATGGCCAATTATGGGCACCATGTTTAGGAAAGACATTGATGAACTGGAGAGTTGCCCTAGGAGGGCAGCCAGGATGGAGAAGGGCCTTGGAATTATGGTTTCTGAGGTGACTTCCATCTCTGAGATCCTGTGAAATACAATTATAGGAACCCTAAGGCTCTAGAGGTCCAGGAAGGGTCATGGAACAGGGAATATCAGAGCTAGGAGAGACCTTAGAATAGGGAATGTCAGAGCTCAAAGATACCCAAGAATAGAGAATGTCAGAGCTGGAAGGGACCTTCAAATCCTTTAGAAGCCCTCTCATCCAATTGGCCAATTTTGCAAAGAAAATGGAAGCCCATCAAGAAGTGATATATCCATGTCCAAAGAAGTTAATATCTCTAACCCACTGGTTTGTGGGAGTGGGTACACACACACACACACACACACACACACACCCTTGGGTGAGAAGTATCAAAGAGAAAGAGGAAATCTTGCACATATACTTACACCACAATTTCCTCACCCAACCAAGCCTTGGATTCAGGACACTCCCAATACTGTGACATGCTGCTCTGCCTTTTTTCTTCCCTGTATATTTCTGGATCAGAGAAGGGGATAGGAACAGGGAGTTTGTGGACAGAAGATGACCTTCAACCATTCCAAAGCTGGACAAACATTACGAACTCTGTTGTCCACACTGTGGCCTTGGGCCCTGGGCAAGGGGTCAGTAGCCTGCCTGGTCACTCCTCCTCCTCCATTCCCTCTCTGTCCTTGGGATGAGACCAAGATCTGGAGCCCATGTTAGAGGAAGAGTCCAAAAATGTCAGAGCTGAGAGAGCCCTTAGAACATGGAATATCACAGCTGGGAGGTATCTTAGAAGTGAGAATGTCAAAGCTGAGAGAGACCTTATGAAATGTTAGAAGCCATTTCATCCAATCCCCTTCCTTTTGCCAAGGAGAAAGTTTAGGCCCATCAAAGGCTTGGTCTACCCAATAAAGAAAAGTATAACACAATTCTGTCCAGTCCCCTTTCTGCTTCTGCTGTGATCCATTAGACTGTGATATCCTTGTGGGCAGGGGACTTTCTTTTACTCTCTTTGTACCCCAGTACTTAGCACAATGCCTGGTATATAGTAGGTGTTTAATAAATGCTTACTGACTACCTGACTAATGGTAGCAGAGTAGCAGAAAATGGGAGGGGGAGCAGAGAGGGCTAGTTTATCAGTGCCTGCAACATAGTAGGCAATTAGCAAATGCTTGTTAACTGGCTCTTTTTAGACTCTCTTTTAGACTTTAATACTGCTGTCTCCTAAATATGGAATCCTTGACCAGTGACCAAATAAGGATGCTACCAGAGGAAATTAGTATCAGTCTTGACACCCTGCTATAAATGTGAGACACTTGTGTGTCCCACTTGCAACACCTTGTGATACTTAGCACCCTGCAACAGCAGCCTCCTACAGCTAAGCAGTCCAAATCAGCTCTCTTCCTTAAGCCTCCAGCCTACAGAAAGTTAACAGGTCACTCGTGGTTATCAACCACCTCAAAGGGAGTTGCAATGGCAGGATTGGCCACCAGGTAGCACTCTCCTTAAACTGCCAAGTTAGTAGCAATCTCGCATCAAGGCTTCTTAACCTTCAGTAATGGCAGGAAATGTTAAATTTCGGTTAGAAGTTATTGCGGGGTGTGTGTGAGCAATTTTCCCATATGAGGTCACAGACCCCCTAAAATCTTTCCATAGACCACTGGAGGACCCTAAATTAAGAATCCCTGGCTCAGATCATCCAGGAGCATGCATGTAACTAACCTTCCAAAAGGTTGCAGTACCCCTATAGGCCACCAGGGGACGCTTAATTGGCAGGTGCCTGGACCACTCTCCATGGACGTCAAGGATACAGTTTCAAACAGCAGGGCTGAGCAGGCTCAGAATTTAATCCAACGGGACGAAATGGAAAGTTAAATGTTACAAAATCTGCAGCTCTAGAACCCCATGTCTAGCCTCTCAAACCTCTCACATTCACAAAAGTCAGACACTTAGCATGCAGTGATCACATAATTCATGGAACACAGCATGCAAAATATCTCAATATATCTCAAAATATTTCACTCCTGACATATTCAAACAGTTTTTAGTGATTAAAAATAGGATATAGACAGAAGAAACGACACAGACACAGTCTATAATAATTTCATACAGAATTTTAACTGATGCAAATAAATTTCTATTAAAAAGAGACTGCAAGAGACTGAAAAGTATACTAGCAGTAAACACTAGATTTATTTGCTTATGGAGAAAGATGGCAGGCAAAGGCAATACCAGTCTAAAATATGTGATCAATATCATTTCATTAAAAAAAAAGCAGTGGAGAAGTAAAAATCATTTTTAAAAAAAGCTCAATGAGAAACTGAGTATATTAAGCAGTCATCCTGAAGGCATTTATGAATTAAAAGGAAGGACAACAAACAGAAGAAAAATTGAAAAGATCTGCATTTTTTTTTACAACAAACCTTGGTTCACTATCAAAGACAGTAAAGCCTCTACACTTGAACTTTAATGATGGATAGACTCATAGAGGAGGTGGAAATGGCATTAAAGTGAACAAAGATGGAAAAAGCAGCTGGATTGGACCAAGAGTACGTGGAGGACTTTCATGTGGGAGATGATACAATGACAAGGGGCATTGAAGGATTCAAAAAGTGTTTGAAGAAGAACATACAAAAAGTATGGGGGGGAAAATCTCAAAAAATCCCCCTCCCCAAAAAAGGCGACTAGAGAAATATCGGCAACTATTAATCTAATGCTCATTTTCTTATTCATATAATATTTTCATGAGAATCAACTACACATACATTGGAAGCATCCTCAATGAAGGCATTAGTACGAACTGTCAGGCTTTCAAAAGCAACATTCCACAGTGGAACACATCTTTATGATTACACCAAAAGACTTGATAAATATAACATCCCTGTATTTAATTTTTTTAAATAAAAGTATTCGTTTCAGTAGAGCAAAATGTCTCTTTAAAGCCTCTCTTCCAACAAAGCACCTTCCATCTATACATCAAAATTTTTCAAAATCTGTTAGCAAAAATAACTTTGTTCAACAACCCTCCAATCATACACATGAGGCAAGACATGAAGCAGTCACAGGTTTGCTCCCCAATGGGCTCCAGTGTTGTCATAGAAGAGACACATCAAAGAATCTAATACAGGATGTTGAAGAGGGAGTCCTGAGGGATGGTGAGTTCCTACCAATGTTCCTCTTTACAGATGGCATTGTGCTGGTTGTATCAATATTGGAACACTGCAGAACCTCTTCAGAGAGATCTGTAACCATTGAAAGGAGTTTGGCCTAACCATAATCACAAGAAAAACCAAGTGGATGAAAAATGTCTGTTGTTCAGATTAAAACATGCAGCATATATCATCAGTATAGACTTGCCCGTGAATAGGACTGAGACAGATATTACCAATGAACAGTTGAGACCAGAATTCAAGAAAAAGGAATGTGGGATGGATTGTCTGCAAAAATATAAATATGCTTTAATAATTCCAAATTCTCCCTGGAAAAAAAAGGCTCATTTTTCCCCACATCAATACTCTACTGCAGGTGTTGTTTTTTGACTGTTAGCCATGGAACAACACAATTTCCAGTTCAAACTTGTGTGAGCCATCTGCAACACAATAAAATATAGAACTTTGAAGGAGAATCCATGTAAAAATATAGCCAGGGAAATGTATGATCAAAAGAGAAGACAGGATAGTCATGTATAGAGGGAGAGGGATAACAGGTGAACAGCCCTGCTATTCCCCTGATATCTGTTTTGATTTTATCCATATAAGTTATGTGTATTCACATGGGTCTGCCTAGATGTGGCTTATAGGAAGGCAAGAATAAATATTTCTAACATCTCTTCCTCCCTCACTTCTCCAGGGAAGGCTTTGATTCCTTCTAGGAAGGAAAGCAGAAGGTTGAGGCCAAAGACTGGCCACTTTGCTCTCCTCAGATACAGGAGGTACCAGACCAGAATTACATTTATCTGCTCCTTTAAATATTGTTAATTGAGGGGGAGGTAAGTTTAAGTTCAAGCTACACTCCTGATTACTATTTATTAATGGGAAAGGAGGGTTCTAAGCTACATATATCCAATATTTAACTCCCTTCTCACCAAATGCCAGATCTACAGTGAAAACACATAGCAAATAGCAAATAAACCCACTTATCCAAACAGATAGCAAACAGAGAGAGGGCTGATGGACTCAGAGTGCAGAGTTTCTTCTATTTTTTTTTTCAGATGTAGCTATATCCAATGTGGGAATCTGTTTTGCCTAGTTATCCATACATGCAATGAGTTTTGTTTTTCTTGCCTTCCCAGTAGGTGGCGAAGGAGAGAGAGAAGCTTTGGAACTCAAAATAAAATAAAAATAATTTTTTAAAGGACAGTGTCTCTTCAGCTTGAAGACTCCCAAAGATGAGGATCTCACTCCCTCCTACATTCTCACCACCTCAGTGCTCTTAAAAATTCCTTCCTAGTTCTATCCTTTGAGCCCATGAATAACAAATCTCATTTGTCTTTTACAGGAAATCCTTTCAGGTACTGAAAGGCATCTCTCACCTCTCCATCCCTTCACCCTTGCACCTCTCAGTTGGCTTTCTCTCACTGGGCTTCCCCTCCAAGTGCACCTGACTTAGAGAATCTCCCCTTCCTCTGCCCCCATCCCACTCACCAGGAGCTGAATGTCTGCTCCCTCCAGGTCAACATACCCTTAAAGGGGCAGGAGGAGAGAGGAGTCAGATCCCCTCCCACACCCCGCTCCACTCCAGGGTTCCCCCCGCCCCGTATGCTTCCCAGGAGAAGAGATGAGACACACTCACCCCCTGAGCCCTCCTGTCCTACTCCAGGGGAGCAAGGAGCTGGGGCTCCTAGGTCAGGGAAAGAGGGAACATTCCCAGCAAGGTGGAGTTTCAGAATCAGTTTCACTTTCTCAGAATAACCTGGTGACAAAATGTGTGTCCTGAGAAGTGACCTGTCTTAGCTTACCCCTGACTCATCCCTCTGCTGAGACGGTCCCTCCCCCATCCTTCCCTCCCCCAAGGCAGACCTAAGGCTCTTGACCCCACAGACATACACACCTATGCCTGCGCACCCACCCCGCCTCCCAGGGATGCTCATGCGGTCTTCCTCTCTCAGCACCATCATTCTTAAGATCATAGACCAAGGAGAAGGGTCCCCAGTGGCCATGTAGTCCAGTCTCTTCATTCAATGCTCTGCCTTTCTGGGGGGAGGGCCCAGACGAGCTTCTCTCTCACCTCCCCCCTTCCCAGACAATTCTATGTCAGCACCACCTTCTTTCTTGGGCCTCAGTCACCCTGACTCCCGCCTCAGGACCTCTCCATTCCTATTTGACTCCTGTCCCCCTCCGTGTCTACACCAGCTCTCCCTCCTCTTTCTCTCTGACCTCTCATGCCTTGATAACCTCCTGGCCTCCGTTGGACCCCCCTCCTCAGCATTTAATCCTCCCCAGTGTCCCTGCCACTAACTACCATAGAATGCCACAGGCCCTCAGGACATAGAAAAGAGAATGTCAAAGCCAGAAGAGACCTTGGAACACAGGACATCAGAGCTAAGAGGAACCTCAGAGCTTAGAATGTAGAACGTCAGAACTAGGTGGCACCTTAGAATATAAAATGACAGTGCTGGGAGGAACCTCAGAACATGGAATGTGGAACTGGGAGGAACCTTAGAACGTAGAAGGTCAGAGGTAGGTAGGAGGAGCCTTGGGACATAGAATGTCAGGACGCCCCCTGATTCTGTGCCATGTTCTCTTCCCTCTATGTCTCTGGGTCAGAGAAGGGAGTAGGGGACAGGGAGTTTGTGGACAGAGGATGACCTTCACCCACCTCAAACCTGAACAAACATCAGAAATCCTGCTGTCCACACTCTGGCCTTGGGCCCTGGGCAGGGGATCAGTGGCCTGCCTGGTCCCTCCTCCCCGCCTCCCTCCCCCTGTCCTTGGGATGAGACCAAAGGCTAGGTAGGGGCTATGTCATGGGAAGGGTCCAAGAATATCAGAGCTGGAAGGGACCTCAGAGCTGGGGGGAAGAGGGGTGCAGGGGGGACCTCTAAGAACTTCTAGGCCATCTTCTCATTTTACAGATAATTAAAGCAAGGCCCAGAGAAGGGAACTAGCCCCTAGATCTTTGCAACCCTTGACCAGAGAATGATTTTATCTAAGTCTGCAATCAGCTCTTCCCTTCTTTGCAAGCTTGGGCTAAAGGGAGAGAACTCAGACACTAAAGAAAAGCCAGGGAAGGCTCAGATCATCAAATCGAACCAGTTTCTTTCCCTAGTGAGATCCTGATCCGAGGCCCAGGGTCTCTCGGGAACTCAGGTAGGGTAGCGATGGGATGTCAAGCTGGGCCAGGCACCAGGGGATGAGCAGGAAAGGCTGTGCTGACGACAGGGGGGGCAGAGAGAGGATGAGGACAGAGGTGAGACACTGAGAGGGACAGGCTGGTGGCAGCCAGTGCCAAGGGGCGGTCCTGGGCCCTAGGGGAGGGGCCCACTGAGCATGTCCCCCCCACATACACCCTTGCTTCCTCTCCGGGGAGCCCAGCTGCCGAAAGATACAAAGCCCCTAGAAATGTTTTTCCCTCAATTGACCTGCATCAGGGGGCCCCCCATTCTGCTCTGGGTTCTGGTCCTGGCCTGGGCCACAGGTAAGGTTTTGGGGGTAAATGAATAGATGGGCACCTGTACCCACCCAGATCTATGTGCGTACGTCTGTGTATGTGTGATCTCACATGTGCAAGTGTGGGGGTGAATATGTGTTTAGCTTACTTGGTTGGTCTATAAACAAACTAGGGGAGCAGAGAGAGAACGCTGAGCACTAAGTCAGGAGGAGCTGAGTTCAAATCCTGCCTCTGACATTTAGGATCTGTGTGACCATGGTCAAATCTTTCCCCTTACCAGGGTGCTATCCTCATTCGCAGAATTGTCATTTCTGTTATGTTGGCTTGGCCTACCCATGAGCAATTGATATTTTTCCAGTTGTTTAGATCTGACTTCATTTGTGTGAAAAGTGTTTTACAATTGTGTTCAAATAGTTCCTGGGCTTGTCTTAGCAGGTAGACTCCTAAGTATTTTACATTGCTCTACGGTTCTTTTACATGGAATGTCTCTTTCTGTCTCTTGCTGCTGGGCTGCTGTCCTCATCCGCTGGCTGTCTCCACTTTGTCCTGCCTGTAGCTTAGCTTGTCAGGACTGAGCTGTGCCCTCTTTGGTCAGAGGTTTGTGACCTCCTTGAGAGCAGGGGCTCCCTTCTGCCTTTCTGTGTACCCCCAGGGCTCAGCACTAGGCCTGGTACACAGTGGGTGCTTAATAAATGCTCATCGGCTTGCCTTGAGGGCTATGAGTGCTTGTGACCTCCCCTAGGAGGAAGCACTCAGAGAGAAGATGGTGGGTAGGGTGGAGGCCCTGGGGTGCCACAAGGAGGTTGGGGGTAAGGGAATGACAGGCTGCCCGTGTGGGTAATAATCAGAGGTCCCACGGTTAGCTCCATTTTCAGTGGGTCACGAAGATGAATTGCTGACTACCCAGCAACCTGAGGAGGACAGGGAGGAAGGTTGGAAGGTGTCCCGTTTCTTCTGGAAGACAGTAGAGCCCCTGATGACCAAGGCCAGTGAGAGCTGGGACTGGATCCGGTGAGTGCACCAGGACCCCAGGGCTCCTAAGAGATCAGAAGGCCTGTGTCTCTCTCTAAAGATAGAAGGGAAAGCCTAGACCCCTGGGGAATCAGAATGCCCTTGGCCTCTAAGAGGGTTTTCATGGAATCGGGGCTGGAAAAACTGGATGCTTCAGTGAATGAGGGAGGGAACCCCAGGAATAGGGGGCCTAGATACCTAGGTTCCTGAGGGAGGTTGGTGGAGGGGGCCTGGACCCCACCTCACATCCCAGAGAGGGCAGGCTTAGAGGATCTGGACGCCTGCATCTCTAAGTGGGCTGGGGGGCTAAAGGGAGTAGGCCCCGGGGTGACTTCCTTATCACATTCATAGGACTCCAGGCCCTGTCCGAGGCTATCTTCAGACTTATTATGAAGACCATCTCAGTGGCCTGGGCCTCAGAGCCCAGAACTGGTTCCGTACTTCACAGCAGAAAGCCCTAAGTCTCTGCCCCGAAAGATTCTGTGGAAACGATTAGAGCCGATGGGCTAAGAAGCAAGAAACCCAAGTTCTCATCATACCGGCCATAGAGTCAAATAAATGACTTCCCTTCTCTAGGCTTCCATTCTCCCCATTATCAAGTAATTGTTGGACTTCTGAAGGTTCTATGTTCTGACATTCCCTGTTCTAAGCTCCCTCCCAGCTCTGACATTCTGTGTTCTGAAACCCTTTCTAGCTCTGACTTTCTGTTCCAAGGGCCCTTCTAGCTCTGATATTCTGTTCTAAGAGCCCTCCCAGTCCAGACATTCCCTGCTCTGAGACCTCTCCTAGCCCTGAAATTCACTATTCTAAACTTCTTCCCAGCTCTGACATTCCCTGTTCTAAGCTCCCTCCCAGCTCTGACATTTTCTGTCCTAAGGGTCCTTTTTGCTCTAACATTCTTTATTCTGTGTTCTATAATGTTGTGTTGGAAGGGTCTTCACAGCTAGGACATTCAATAACGAGCAATTATCTGTAAAACAATATGTCCTGCCTCTGTCAGTGTCCACAATAAAGTCTAGCCTCTTTCTCTTTGTCTGTCTCTCATTATCTTCCTCGTCACCAGCCACCCCACCCCACCTAATTAACTGATAAAGGTCTGAGTTGAGCAACATCTCGCTCTAGAATGTGCCCTATCAGGAAAGGGAGGGCTTGGGTCAGGGCATCTGGAGGGTCTCCCCAGCCCAGTATCCCCGAGAAATCAGGTAGATGTGGGTGGTGGGGGTTGCTGATAGGAACACCTTGGGGATATAGGGGACAGGACAGAATTCTAGTCAGCAAGATTCTTTTAACTTCTTGCCTCTCAACCGTTTCCTGCTAGGACTCAGGTGTCCATTCCCCCAGTCCACTGTGAGGATTCCAACACCCAGCCCCACTGGGGGCCAGGATACCCCTCAACTATCTGGGGATCCTGGTCCTTCAGTGACCCCAGTAGCTCCTGGGAAAGAGGAGGGCCCTCTGAGCTGCCTTGATTTGGGTCTTCCCCCACCCCCTACTCCCACTCCCCACCCCCCAAACCCAACAACCCTCTGTTGTGTTGGCCTGGACTTTGAACCGGGCTTGGGGGTGGTAGGGAGGTGGAAACAGGACATTGGCTACCTATAAAGGGCCTGACCCTTGTTCTGGGCTGATAATCAGAGACAGATCTGGGGCTTCAGGTGAGGGCCTGGGGTGTGCCAGTTGGCTTGGGTGAGGGAGAATGGGGAGTCGGGGACACAGGTAGAGGGCCACGGATCTTAGATATCCAATCGGGAATGGTCTAGACTGTGGAGTCCAGGTACCGCTAGTTTTGCAGATGAGGGCTAGAGAGAGAAACTCACTCTGGCCAGAAGCTTTGGATAGTCAATTCATTGGGCCTAGAGCTTCAGTGAGAACAAAGAATGTCGAGCCACAAGTGACGGTAGGGATAATCAAATCTAATTCCCTCTTTTGAGTGTAGGGGGAAATTAAGGCCCGTAGGAGAAAAGGGATTTAGCCAATGCCTGGAGGCAAGAAAAGAACTCTCTCTCTAAATGATGGCCTCTGGTCTTTGCGCCCAACCAGAAGCCGAGGAAAAGGAAAATTAAGGAGAGAAGGGACCTGAAGGGAAAGGGAACGGCCAGGGAGAACCCCAGAGATAGGGAGGAGAGGGAGGGAGAAGAAACACCAGGAGGCAGAAGGGGCTCAGGGAAGAGATAGGGAACAGGAGGAGAAAACGATCCCTCGGGGGTGAAATGATCTCAGGCAACTGAACAGGGGTCTCCCTCCTCCTCCAACCTCATTCCTTCCTCTGATTTGGTCCCGACGCCCCTAGTTCTCCCTGCCATCATGAGTACCAGGATCCGCCCCACCCTTACCTTCTTGCTGCTGCTGCTGGTGCTGGCCTCAGGTGAGTAGGACTCAGTGTGGGGTGGACAAAATGAGGGAGGGGTGCATGCTCAGGCCTCCTCCGGCCCTACTTCTCCCCATCCTCAATGTTTTCTCTGATCCAGATTCGCCACTGAACTGAAATTCTTTCTAGTTCTCCCCCGGCCCAGTTCTTTCCCTTTCCCCATCCCGAATTCTCCCCTGCCTCCTCTGCAGCCCTTGTCCCTAACCCTCCTCCTTCCTCAACTTTCCCCACCGCCTCTCATTCCCTCCTGATTCCCAGTCCCTGTGTCTCCATCCAATTCTCCTTTGACCTGAATCCCTCACTAACCTGGTGGCTCCATGCCATCAGGCCCCAGCCCCACTGGCATCTTTCCTCCCAGCAACCCCGGCTGCCAGGCCCCGATTTCGACGAGAGGAGAGCCCTGGCCTGCTGAGCAAGGTCCAGAGCCATATCTTTGACTACTGGGAGTCTGCCAAAGCCAAGGCCCACGAACTCTATGAGAAAGTCCAGATACCCAGAGTTGATGAGAACATCAGGTAACTACACCCCTCACCCAGCCCAACTGAGGCTTCTTCGATGCCCTCTCCGCTCTTTCAGCCACCCAGGTGGCCTGTCTCCTCTGGTTCCCCAGCCCTCCAGGGATACAGGCATCCAGGTCACCAGCCCCAAGTCTCCCTCTCCTTTTAGAGGAGTTCAAGCAGCCAGTCTCCTTGTCCCCAGATCCCCTACCCCTTCAGAGATCCAGGTACCCAGGCCCTCCATTCCCTGCAGAGACTCAGGCACCCAATTTCCCAGCCCCCCAACCTACTACCCCTTGAGAGCCCCAGACATCCAGTCTCCTACCTCTCCCTCCTCTCCCCTTCCCCCAGTCTCTTCTCCCTTCAGACACCCTGTGAGGGACCCAGGCCATCCCTCAGCCCAGCCCCTTTCTTCCCCACAGGCACGTCTATGACAAGGGCTCAGAGGCCATGACCACGTACACTGGGATTCTGACAGATCAGATCTTTCACATGCTGAAGGGGGAACAGTGAGCCAGTGAATGCTGGCTCCCCCTTATCTCCAACCCAGGCAGGTCCAGCCTGAGGCATCACTCCCAGACTCCCCCCTAATAAAACTGTATAAAAGAGACCAAAGCAGCTTTTTCTGGGTTGTGGCGACAGGGTACAGTTGAGGCTGAGGTATCAGGACCTCTGAATCTCTGAGCCCTGAGGAACTGGGATCATAGGGTCCAGGAGTAGGGTGGAGGATATCTCCATGTCCCAAAGCCTCTTGTTACAGACGAGTCACAGAGCTGCCAAGGTGTACTGCAGGGAATTTAATAGACTCATAGACCTAGAGCTGGCAGCGACAAGATGAAGAAACTGAGGCACAGAGTTTGAGTGACTGCCCCATCAAAACCAGAGTCAGGATTTGATCCCAAATCTTCTGAGTGCAAACCCAGCTCTCCACGCTGGGAATTCCCCAAGCTGATGAAATCACAGCCAGACAAGAAGAGAATGTCCTAAGCTCAGTGGAGACAATGATGGTGGGAAAACTCCGTAAAACAGACGCTACTTTCAGGGAGCTTATAGTCTGGGAGACATGGATGTGCCAAGTGTACAAAGAAGTCTGCTACGTGGGGAGTAAAGAGAAAAAGGGGAGTGGATGAGGGGTACAGGGGTGGGAAAGAATCGGATCAAGTGCCTTATAGGGAAATCTGGAAAGGGAGAGAACACTTTGAGTTGGAGGGATCTGGGAAGGCTTCCTGGAGGAGTCTGCCACCTGGAAGGTGAGGACCCAAATGCCTTGGTCCCTAAGGCACATAGGGGGATGGACACTAGCACTCATAAGGGGCTCAGAATAGGAGGTCTGGATGCCTAACAGAGATTGGAGGCCCGACTTCTCTTTGTTCTTAGCTGAGGTGGGAGTTGGGGGACCAGATGCCTGAGACTTTAGTCCTTGCGAATTCTGGGTGGGGAAAATGGGCTTCTAAATTCCTAACAGCTACTGGAGGGAGTGGGAAGGTTGGGGTGCAGAACCCCTGGATCCCTGAGGGAGAACTTTCTGGACGAGAGCATCCCTAGGGCCCTTGCTTAGACAATGCCAGAGGATAGGATTCCTGGGTCTCTGGATGGGGGTGGGCTTCATTTAGGCTGCTTTCCACATCCTCCCCAAACTGAAGCCAGATTTCTCTCTGCTAATCCTCTTAACATTAATCTCCAGCCTCTCCTGCAGAAATCCCTGCAGGGGGGCTGCTCTGTTTAGAAGGGAGAGGGGGTTGGGCTGTGGCCTCCCCCCTCTAAGAGGACACAGCAGTGTGGTTCCGGGAAGGGCAGGGGGCCCCCGGAGGGGGATCTGAGCGTGTCCTCAGAAGGTCCCCAAGTTCCCAGCCTGAGAAGGGGGTGGGGAGTTTGCAGGATGAACAATCAATCTCTCTTGTGTCCTCTCTTGGCCAGCCCCTTGTCCCACAGCCAAAGTAAACACCCCAGGCGGCTTCCTGCCTGGCTGTGCCCCTTCCCAAGCCCCAGGACTCCTTACTGTTCCAGAACTTAGAAGGCTGAAATCCCAGACCCCTCCTCCCTGCCAAGACTCAGACATCTGGGTCCCCTGCCTCTGCCTTCTCAGGGACCCAGGGGTCCTGGTCCCCCAGATCCCTCCTGCACCAGGGACCTAGACATCCAGACCTTCTGCCTTAGAGCCCCAGAACGTCCTGGGGACCCAGGCTTATGGGCTCCCAACCCCACTTTTCTCCTCTACCTCTCTCCCTTCCCTTCAGAGGCTTCCACCCCTGGGTCCTGCTAACCCATCTCCTATTCTATCAATCAATAAATAAACATGTACTAAGCACCTACTATGTGCTAGGCAAAGACAAGGCAAAAGGCAGTCCTTGCCCTCAAGGGGCTCACAGTCTAAAGGGAGAGATGACATGCGAACAATTAGGTGCGAACAAGAACTAATCTGGATAAACTGGAGATGATCTCAGAGGGAAGGCGCCCGAATTAACGGGGATGGGAAAGGGCTTCCTGGGGAAGGGGGGATTAGCCAAGGACCCTGGGAGGGGAGGGGAGAAGGGAGACCATTCTAGGCACGGGGGACGAGCTAGAGAGGAGGCTTCAGAGAGCTCTTGTCCACTCCAGGAGCCCCGAAGGTCTCATTCCGTCCTCTCCCGCACCCCACTCGCCATGCCCCATCCTCTGTGTACCCCTCTGATGGAGGGAAGACGGAGAAGGAAGACGCTGGGAGCCTGCAGGGACTGCTCAGTCTGGTGCTTCTTTCTCCCTCGGAAGAGACGCTCACACTCCTGAGCTTCAATTGGTCGGGACCCTGTGCTCGGTCAGTCAGACCACCGACGTTCCTTAAGCGGCTACTATGTGTCAGGCACCGGGTTAAGGGCTGGAGAGACTAAAAAAAGAGGCAAAAACAGCCTGTGCTCTGAGAGAGCTCACAACCCAGCAGTAAATCACACCACAAGCCAGTGTTCTTGCCACGGGGCTGGATCCAGGGGAGACAAAGGCAAACCTGAGAAAGCCCCTGCCTTCCGAGGACTCACGTTGGAGCCTAGACACAAACAGGTGCACGTAAAGGTCTAGAGAAAACCTGTGAATTAATTTGTAGGAAGGGGCCAGGAAGGCTTCCCAGAGGGGGGCAAAGGAAGGAAGCAAGGTGGGGAGGAGCTAGGGAATGGGAAAAGGGGGAGGCCCATGGAATGAGAGTATTGGCTCTGGAGTCAAACCTGGGGTCCTGGGTCAAGCCACAGTGCCCGTGGGTTTCAGTTTCCTGATCTGGGTAGCTACGTAGCGCAGTAGCTGGAGGGCGGGACGTACCTCAGACGTTAAGTAGCGGTGTGACCCTGGACAGCACTCAGTTTCCTAATCTGTAAATTGGGGATACTGACAGAGCCTACCTCTGGGAGTTGTGGTGAGGAGGAGATAATATTTAATAAGGTGCTTTGCTAGTAAAACTAGGAGCTAGCCTCTGGAATCCTACCCAGCTCTAACGCAGGCTCTTCTAGACCAGGAGTCCTTAACCTTGTTGGTATTCTTTGGCTGCCTGCTGTTGTCGGCCCTTCTTAGACCTGTCTTAAATACATACATAGGATTACCAAAGGAACCAGTTACACTGAGCTGCAGTTATTGAAATATCTTCTAAAAGCAAGTGCACATACTCCATGCTAAGAATTGTTCTCTCTTGCTGGGGCGAAGAGGGCTTCGGGGAACGGGTGAAGGCGGAAGGGCCTGGAGGAATGCTGCGGCTGATGGGGCACCACAGAACGTTCCTGCGCAAGAGTGGACCGCAGTAAGGCACAGCTCGGAAGGGACTTCAGTCAGACCCCCTGATTTTACAGATGGGGAGAAGGGAGTCCCCAAAGAGGGGAAACGATTCTGGGGGGGGCACACAGCAAGGAGAAGGGAGAACGGATTCGAACTGTCCATTCCCTAGCTCACCCCATCCCCCCCATCTCTCTTTATCCCCCTCCATCTCCCGCCTCGCCTTAAGCCCTTTACCAGAATTTCTGAAAGGGGCCTGGGGGAAAGCCACTCCCCTCTCCGCTGATTGGTCACTGCCCCTCGACGCTCACCGATTGGTCAGGAGCTTAGGAGGGAGAAGTGGGTGGAGGAAACAACGCCTTCCTAGTCTTTTCTCTGATTGGTCAAGGCACCAACTAATCTGGTCTCGTCCTCGCTCTATGGAGCCACCAAGATGCGGCCCGGGGCAGGCAGGGGTGGGGTGGGGTGGGGTGGGAGAAGGGTGCACCTACCTTGAGTGAAAAGGGACGGCTTGTCTGGCTAGAGCCGGTTCCTCGCCTACACGTGACCAGAAAACTGAATCCAGCGAGGTCATTCCCGAGATAGTCAGAAGGGGGAGCCCGCAATTGAGAGGATGCCCATCAATTGGGGAATGGCTGAGCAAGTTGTGGTATATGAATGTAATGGAATGCTATTGTGCTGTAAGAAATGATGAGCAGGCAGACTTCAGAAAAACCTGGAAAGACTTGTATGGTTGATGCTGAGTGAAGTGAGCAGAACCAGGAGAACGTTGTACAAAGTAACAGCCACGTTGTGTGATGACTAATATTGATAGACTGAGCCCTTCTCAGCAATGCAAGGATCTAAGACCTCTCCATGATGGAAAATGCTATCCACATCCAAAGAAAGAACTATGGAGTTTGAATGCACATCGAAGCATACTATTTGCTATTTTTTTTTCTGTTGAGTTTTGTTTCCTCTTTCTGGTGGTTCCTCCTATTGGTTCTAATTCTTACTTACAACATCACTAATGTGAAAATGTTTAATAGGAATGTATATGTATAGCCTATATCAGATGGTGCGCTGACTTGGGGAAGGTGATGGGGAGGGAGGGGGAGAAAATTTTAAAACTCAAAAGCATGTGGAAGTGATTATTGATAAATCAAAGTAAAATTTTAAAATATGGAAAAAAAAAGGAGGAGCCTGGGAAGAAACCTACATTACTTTCCTTCTCCCTGCACACTCTGGAGTCACTTGGTTGCCTGTGCTGCACCTTAAGCCCTGGGCTTAGGGTAGGGTAGACGTAGGTTCGAATCCAGTTTCTGACACTTCCTGTCCTTATGACGCAGGGAAAGCTATTTTGAACCTCCATTTACTCATTTGTAAAATGTAATAATAGAATGTCTAAAAAAAAATGAGAGGGAGTTAAAAATAAGGCATTCTCTTCCAGGGAGCCTCTATAAAAGTAAAAGAATTTGTTAACCCCTCCCTGAACAGGGTGTGGTGGGAAAAGGGGGATAATAATATCCACAGGATAACAGTGGGTAGGGTCGGGGACCTGGAGTCCTGAAAACCTGAGTTCGAATTCTCCTTCAGATACTTATTAGCTCTGTTTCCCTGAGCAAGTCAATCTCTCTGTGCTTCAGTTTCATCGGTAAAATGGCGACTGAGTTATTGATAGGAACAAATGAGTATGCTCAATGGAACTTAAAAATGCTACCTATTATTTTTACCTACCAGGGATGCTGGAAGAATGTAGCTATGATCATTTAGGCTAGGGACAGGATGGCACCGGGGATGATGCATGAAGATATGATTGCTTTCTTCAAGTATTTGAAGGGCATGAAGGGGTTGGAGGAGTACAGGTGGCAAAGAGGTGGAGTTAAGACCGATGTGGGAGAAAACTTCTTGACAATTAAATTAGTCTAAAAGTGGAAGTGGGATGTCCCATCAGATCTTGAACTCAACAGATCCAAGGTTGAACTTATTATCTTCCCCCACCTCAAACCTTCCTCCATCCCTAACTTCCCTATTGCTATTGGCCCCATCTGGGGTTTTCTTGGCAAAGAAAGCAAAGTGGTTGGCCATTTCCTTGGGGGCATGGCCCAGGCACCCAGGCTCACTATCACCCCACCCCCAATCCAGTCTCCTGCCAAGTAGTGTCGTTGCTCCCTCCACAACATCACTCCTATGTGCCCTCTTCTCTCCTCTAGTCATCTCATGCCTGGACTGATGGCCGGCCGGCTGGTGGGTCTCCCTGCTTCAAGTGTCTACCCTCCACTCAGTTGTCAGAGTGATCTTCCTAAAGCCCACATCTGACCACATCCACCTTCTCCCTCATTCAATAACCTTCAGAGGGTCCCTGTTGACCCCAAGATCAAATCTCAAAGGGCTTTGAAAGTCCTTCATAACCTGCTCATTTCCTCTACCTTTCCCATTTTCTTAAACTCATTCCCAACCTTCACATCCTCTGCCGTCCAGTGAATGGCTTTCGTGCTGTACCTTGAACAAAATAATCCATCCCTGCTCCCTGCATTTTCACTTGCTGTCTACCATGTCTGGACAGCTAGGGGCTGCTAGGGGGTGCCATAGTGGATAGAGTGCCAGGCCTGGAGTCACAAAGACCTAAGTTCAAATCCAGCCTCAGACACTTACTAGCTGTGTGACCTTGGGCAGGTCACTTCACCCTGTTTGCCTTAGTTTCCTCATCTATAAAATGAGCTGGAGAAGGAAATGGCCAACCGCTTTGCCTAGTGTCTTTGCCAAGAAAACCCCAAATGGGGCCATAGAAGAGCCAGACAGGACTGAAATAACTGAGCAACACCTTTCCAGGCCTGTCAAATGTCAAACATATTCACATTATTGATATTACTTCACTAAAATCCTCAACGGCAACAAAAGTCTGGAACTCTCTCCCTCCTCATCCCTAGCAGCTGGCTTCCTTTAAGTCCCGGCTAAAACCCAACCTTCAACAAGGAACCTTTTCTAATCCCCCTAATGCTACTGAGATTATCTCCAATGGACACTGTCTATATCTTGCTTCTAACACAGTTGTTTGCATCTTGTCTCCCCCTTTTCCACTATGAGCTCCTTAAGAACAGTGACTGACCTTTGACTTTTTTGTATCCCCAGAGTTGAGTACAGTGCCCAGCACATGGTAGGTACTTAGTAAATGCTTGCTGACTTGACCTGAGAGGCACAATAATCATGTGTCAGGTATACTTGATGGCTTCAGGGATTGGGTAAGAATAGTGATAGCTAGCATTCCCATGGTGCCTCAAGGCTTGTCAAGTACTTTACAAATACTATCTAATTTTATCCTTACAGCCACCCTGGAAGCAGGTATTATTATCCCTATTTTACAGAGGAGGAAGCTGAGGCAGACAGAGGTGGTTTGGCCAGGGTTACACAGCTAGGGAAGTGTATGAAGTCATATTTGAACTCGTCTTCCTGAGTTTGGGCAGCTACACGGTACAGTGGAGAGAACACTGGCCTCAGAATCAGGAAGACTCCTCTTCTCGAGCTCAAATCTGGCCTCAGACATTTACTAGCTGTATGACCCTGGCCAAGTCACTCAACCCTGCTTGCCTCAGTTCTTCATCTGTAAAATGAGCTGGACCAACGATATCAGAAGGGTGCAAGTGAATTGGATTTAATCGAGGCAGAGCTGGAGAAGACAATGGCAAACCATCCCAGTATCTTTGCCAAGAAAACTCCAAATAGGGTCACAAAGAATCAGACGTATAGCAAACACTTTCCAAACCTTACCGGGTTAGAGAAGTATCCATCATCTCCTACTTCACAGAATGTAGATGTAGGAATGGCTAGTGTAGGCATGGACTAAGGAACAGAAGCACGGGACTTATCCACCCACAGTTTCAATAACTTCCAATTATAATATGTGGTGACTCAGCCCCTTTTTCTAATGAAAGAGGCTCATGTTCCACTCCCAAGCTTCACATTCTCTAATTCCTTGGGATCCTAGACATCATCAGCGTAACCGGTTAGGGATACTGAGGCCCAGGGGGTCCAAAAAGTCACAGCGGGTGTTGAGGGTTGGGGAACGGGGACAAGGAAAGCAGAGCTGAGAGCGGAGCACTGCTCCCCTGACTTCCTGCCTAGGGCTCTCTCCTACAAAGGGTATGTGAAATGGCACAAAACACACATACCTGTAGCATCACAGGGAAAGGGACCCGTGAAATGAAAGGGAGCGTGGAAGTAACAAGAGAGTGCACTGAATGAATAAGGAGCACACTGAAAAGACCGAGAGCCAGAAGTCAGCAACTTTGAGATTCCTGAGGAGTCACCTCTTACAAGTGAGAAAACTGAGGACCAGATAGGGGAAGGGATTCCCCAAGGGGGAGAATCAGAGGATGGCAGCCCCCTTCCAACCAATGACTCCTTGTGGCAGAGGGGACAAAGGTAAAGACCATTTTCCCTGCATTCCTTCCATGATTGCAAGTATCAATGAAAAACTCTGCTCAGCTATCACACCATTTCTGGGCCGACTGTTGCATCTCTTAGCTGGGCTTTGAGGTAACTACTTTGGATGCTATGACTGGGCAATCCACCAGGTGGTGCTCTAGGATCAGGCTACCCCAGCTCGCTCCATTGGGTTTGCAGCAATTACCAAAAACACCATGGTTTCAACAAGAACAGGTCACACCAGACCCACCTCATTTTCCTTTTTCTGTAGGATTACTAAACTAGACAGGTAGACAAGAGAAATGTTGACATAGTTTACATAGATTTTAGCAAAGCTTTTGATAGGGTGTTTGAGACCCTTGTTGTGCAGATGATGTAAAGAAATAGGAATCACAAAAAGAAAAGATTCTACATGCACACAAACATTTATAGCAGCTCGTTAATGGCGGCAAAGAATTGGAAATCGATGGGAACCCCATCCACTGGGGAATGGCTGAGCAAGCTGTGGTATATGAATGTAATGGAATACTACTGTGGTATAAGAAATGATCAGCAGGCAGATTTCAGAAAAACCTGGAAAGACTTGTATGGTCTGATGCAAAGTGAAGTGAGCAGAACCAGGAGAACATTGTACATACTAACAGCAATATTGTACTATGATCAGCTGGGAAGGACTTAGCTCCTCTGATGAAGACAATGATCCCAGAGGATTCCAAAGGATTCATGATGAAAAATGGTCTCCACCTCCAGAGGGAGAACTGAAGAACTCAGTGCAGATAGAAGCATATTTTCAGGTTTTAATCTGTGTTTTCTTTTGCAACATGGCTAACATAGAAATATGCATAATCAATATCAAATTGCTTGCCTTGTCAAGGATGGAGGAGGGGTAGGAGGGAGGGAATTTGGAACTCACAATTTTTGCTGTTTTTTTAATTTAATTTTATTTTATTTAGGCAGTTGGGGTTAAGTGACTTGCCCAGGGTCACACAGCTAGTAAGTGTTAAGTGCTCTATCCACTGCACCACCTAGCTGCCCCAGGAACTCAATTTTTAAAAATGTTAAAAACATTTTGCATGTAATTAGGAAACAATGACATAAATTAAAAGTATGAAAAAAACAGGAATCAATAAACCAAACATAAGGAGCCCTGCAGGCCATATATCAACTTAGTTTAAAAATGTAATTTTTTCTGTTTTATTGTATTTTTATTTGGTATTTCCCAATTATAGTTTAATCTGGGTTGGGCAGCACTGGGGAGTCTGGTGGGCACATGTGACTAGTAGTTCTGGGTTTGACACTTCTTAATTAGACCATAATTATAAGAGTTAACATTTATATAATGCTTTAAGGTTTTCATAGTACTTGAGGAATATCTTCCTCATGCTATCCTCACAACAGCCCTCGGAGGTAGGTGCTATTATTATCCTTATTTTACAGATGAGGAAAAGTTAAGTGACTAGCCCAGGATCACACAGCTAGCTAGTAAGTGTCTGAGTCCAGATTTGAACCCAAGTCTTCCTGAATCCAGTTCTGGCACTCAATCACTGCCTCAGTATAACCAGATTATTCAGACGTGATTGTGTGAGGAGAATCTATTGTCATTATAATTCAATGTCAAAGTGACAGAAGATGGATGAAGCCATGAATGGTCTGTCTACTCAAATTCACAGATAACACAAAGTTGAGATGGGAAACTAATACAGTTGATGATGGGATAAAAGGATCTCAATGGGCTAACATTGGACTGAATCTAGTAAGATAAAATTCAATTGGGATAGATGTAAAGTCTTGCACTTTAGTATTTAAAAAAAATCAAGTAAGAACAGCAATCCTTTGAAAAAGATCTGGAGGTCCTAGAGGAAAGAATACTCAATACATCAGCAGCATGATGTGGTAGCCAAAAAAAAAAAAAGGTGATGAAATCTTGGGCTGTGTGGAAGACCATGGCTTCTGGGAAGAGGAAGGTGATCCACAGACCTCAACTGTCCTCCGTTCTCATCACACCTCACCCCAAGTACAGTGCTCAGTCCTGCATACCACAATCTAAGGATGCTGATAAGCTGGGGTGAAGGTAGGGTGTCCAAAGGACAACCAGGAGGAAGAAGGGCCTTGAGCCCAAGGGGCAGAAAAGTCATTTGAGGGATATAGGTTGGTTTAGCCTTTAGAAAAGAATCAGGGAGAGGAAATGATGGCTATGTTAGGGTATTTGAAGGCCTGTCACGGAGAAGAGCAGATAAGATTTGTTCCGTTTGGTCCTAGAAGGCAGAACTGGAAGTAACAGCCACAAGTTACAAAGAGACAGACTGATGCTTGATGGCAAAGAAAACTTCCTAATAATTAGCTGGCCAAAGTGGAATGCAAAGCATGGACCGGTAGCATGTTCTCCCTCCTTGGGGAGGTCTTTAAGGTGAAGCTGAATGACCCATCTGGCAAGTGTTAGAGGGGGTTCTTCTCTAAGAATTGGAGTGAATAGCAGTGAGTGGGCACAACTCCACAAGACTGATGCTGCATCTCCCCCCTCTTGGCAGAGTTGGAGAATATATCACCAGGCACAGCCAGTGTGTGGCCCTGACTTGCTCAACTCATTTGTTGTGAGGGCTGGCAGTTTTCTTTGGTGGGGAGGGAAGAATTTAGGGGATAGTGGAGGGAGAGGGAGAGAGAGAGAGTAGTGAAAACATTTAAACACAGGAAAGAGAGAAGGAAATTCAGAAAGGGACACAGATAAACAGAACAGTGTTAGTAATACCACATTCAATTTAATACATACTTTAAAAAAATACTGTAGGAAACAGATTCATGGTTATACATTAAAAAAAAAGTTTTCAATGACCTCTACTCCTACTTCCTGAAGATAAAACAGCTTCTGCTGAACCAAGTCTGCATTCCTATCTTGAGATCATCCATGATGAGCGGCCATCTAACCCATCGCTGGAGCAGAAGAAAGGTTGACCTCTGGCTGGTGGTCTTTTAGTACCAGCTCACTGGGATCTCTGGTCTGCTCATCTTCTTCCCAAGTGGAATGAATGGTTCCATGGTTCTATTTCTAAGCAGATTTTCAGTATACTGTTCCTTCTGAGTCTGGGCTTGTCTTTCTTCTGGGGCCCATGCATGAGATGTCCTGAACATTCTGAAATTGGATTTTCCTGTGTGAGCTCACTTTCTGTTTATGATCCAGCAGGTTTTGACTCCCTCAAGACTGGGAAGGTGAATTCTCAGCTTCCAATGGCATAACCTATCTTTCCTCACATGCAGCCTGTGGATCCTAAACTGGGGGTGGGAATTCTGGTACAGAAATGTGAAAAAGAAAGGTAAAAGAAAATTTAAAATTCACATAGAAGGAAACATTTTAAAGTCTCCAAATTCGAAAACCTGTGAATCCCTAAGGGATTATTCCCACTTGTTAAACCTCACTGGGCTTTCCAGGCAGGGCAGTGTTGGAAGCACTTTTAGCACTGGCAGGTATGGCTGTTTCAAAGTGCTATCACAGAGCAGCGTGGGGGCAGCCGAGTGGCAGTGGATAGAGCACTGGGTCAGGAATCCGAGTTCAAATCCGACCTCAGACACTCCCTAGTTATGTGACCCCCTTTGCCTCAGTTTCTTCGTCCGGATGACCAACCAGTCCAGCATCTCTCCAAGAAAACCCCAAACAGGGTGAGGGAGAGTCGCACGGGGCTGAAACTAGTCAACAACAAGAAATCATAGAGCACCGAGGAAGTCTAGGTGCCCCCCCCGTCACAGGACATTTTTGACCACCAGGGGGCAGCCGAAGCTCAGCCGGCCAGGCCCGCATTACCCACGTTCTACCCGCGGGTACAACAAACATCGTTCGTAATTCTTGGCTGATTTTGGCTCTGTGCCCCTAGATCCTGATCCCTCGCTTCCTTGTCCATTGAGGACCCCTCAGTTACTCCCATTTAGAGTAGTAACCCGAGCTTCCAAAGGGAGGGAGGGCCTGGCGCACCTCGGCAAAGGAGCGTTGTGGATTCAGGGGCTGGAGGAATGAGAGGGAGGAAGAGGGAGTGGCCCCCATACGCTTCCAAGACAATCTCTGTTCAAGGCAGATGGACGAGGGGGGTGCAAAGAAAACGAATCCCTCCCTCTTCTGTACGAGCCCTGGTGCAGAAGCGGTGCATTTGGAGCTGATCCAACACTGGACGAGGGAAGGGGCTTGGCATGAGCCTGGGCTCTGGGGGGGCCGGGGGGGGCGTTTCCTTCTCGGCGCCGCGTCCGAGGAGCTCTCCACGTGGAATTAGAAGGAAAGAAAGAAAGGCCGCTTCCTCCAAGAAGCTGGCCAGGATCGTCCGTGAGGAAGGGCGACCGACCGTCCTCTCTCAGGGACGTAGACAACGGAAAGCTACACGGTCGGCTTTAGACCGTGGCCCGGCCCCCCACGCACGTGCGCTTCGCCCAGGACCAGCACGAGAAGAGGCGGGCGGTGGCCGGGACGGTAGCGAATGGGGATGGGGGAGAGGTAACAGAACAAGTGAAACGAATTTGGCGATCGCAGTGGATACGGTGGCCGGGAAGGGACCGCGCACAGTTTGCAGGGCTCATCGGACGGGGGCGTGGCCAAAGGTGAGATTCGACGGTGGCCGCGAAGGGACTAAACGTCTGGGGTATGGGAGAGGAATCGCGACGAGGGAAAATGGTCGTGACCAACGGCGGGGGCGTAGCTCAGGACGAGTTGGACGGTGGCTGAGGAGGGACCTGGCCATCGGGAGGGTGGGCCGCGGTTCTCGCAGGAAGGGAGCGGGGGTGCGGCAGATGGGCAGGTTAGAGGCTGGGGCCCGGGAAAGGATCTGCCCCCTTCCCGGGGGCGGGGAAGGAGGCGGGGAGCGCGACTGGCAACGGTCGGGGGCGTGGCGGGGGGGGAGGCCGCGGACGGTGGCCGGGTAGGGTGAGGAGCCGTTGGCAGGACGAGAGAAAACCGGGTGTCGGAAATGAGGGGTCGGCGCAAGGGCGCCTGACAACGGGGGACTCGGGTGGCGGCCGGCAGCGGCCTTGGCCCCGGGTGCCGGGGAGTGGCCTGCGAAGAGAACGCGCTCGCGTTGGGCGGCGGGACTCGGAGCCGGGTACGGTGGCCCGTTGGAGCTCACTACGGGTGCCGGCAGTCCCCGGGCTGTTCTCGCGAGAGCGGGCGGGGCGGGGCGGGGCCTGTGTGGGGGCGGGGACACGGAGCAGGAAGATGGCGGCTGCGCAGGAGGCAGACGGGAGCCGGAGCGAAGTGGCTGCCGCGGCGACAGTAACCGGAGGCGGCTCCGGGCAGGTAGGCGGCCGGGCCAGCGGACGGGAGGAGAGCAGACGGTCCTGGCAGCGGCGGCTCGGCCCGGCGCGGCTCAGCGCGGCCTCCCCGGCGGGACCCTTCCCGCGGAGGCCCCTCCGACCCCCTCCCGGGGCGGGCCCCCCACTCCCCCGCTGCGCCGCGGGGTCCCTCCCTCCCGCCCGGCTGCGGCTCCCACCTGCTTCCCGCCCCAGGCCGGCTCCTGATCGTCCCGAGCCGTCCTGCCCGAGGGTTTCCGTGGCTTTCCGCCCCCGCCGCCCCCCATTTGCCTCGCGGTCCCCTCCCCCTCCCAGGGTGCTGCTGCCCACTAGGGGAGGGGGCTCCTTTTCTCGAAAAATTTCTCCGTCCCTTCGTCTCCTCAGGCCTAGGCAGCCCCTGACCCCAAGAAAGCCCCCAGCCCTCCCTCGATCTCCCTCCGCCGTCCCCCTCCCGATCTGCTGATTTATCCCGGCGGGTCCGGCCTTGTGTCTGCGCCGCCCCCGGAGCACGTGTGATGACTGGACACACGGGGAGGGCGACAGTGGCCGGCAGATAGGTGGACAGACGGACTGAGGGACGGACAGAGCTCCCTGCGAGCCTGTTTGCCCCGTACTGCAGGCGTTCACAGATGAAGAAACTGAGGCCCGGAGGGGTCAGCGGTGAGGGTAGCTCCGGGCTCGCCCTGGTTCAAAGTCCAGCATTCCTCCCCGTGGCTCCCTCCCTCTGCCCGGCGTCTCCTACTAGACTCTGCCCCGGCCCGCTGCGGCTGAGGCTTGCCTCCTTCCCATCCCCCATGTCTTCCACGGGGTCTTCTCTGCCCCCCCCCACAGGCTTCCCAGGTGGGATAGATGCCCTGGGGGCACCCTGGGCCCCTTCTCAGATCCCTGCCTTTCTCTCCCACTCGCCCTCCTGCTGGACCATCGTCCTGGGGTATCTTCCCTGGTTGCGGGGTTCCTACCGAAAGCCAATCTTGATCCCGGCCCTGGGAGGCCTTCCTGAAGTACTCTCTGTGATGCCCCCTCCAAGTAACACAGTTTTGCAGCTGCTCCCACCCCACCACACTCGCACCCTCATCTGTAGGAGCCCAGCTCCCCCCTTTGCCGAGACTTTTTGCCCCTATTTTAAAGGCTGGGGATTCCCCCGCTTCCCCCTTTCTCCCTGGTGAGTGAGGTCCTGCCCTAGTGAAGACAGGCTGCTCCATCGTGGTTCCCAGCCACGTGGGGATGGAGGGTCCCTAGGGCTGAGGCCCTGGCTGCATTTAGAACTGGGGGGGACTTTTGGTATTTTTCTGCCCCCTCGATTTACAGTTGGGGGAAACTGAGGTCTAGAGTGAAGAGCACACTTGGCTAAGGGCATCTCTGGTATCAGTGACTTTTTCCGATCTCAGGTCCTGTGTGTTTGCTCATGTTGTTCTGCCTTGTGACAGCCAGCCAAGCTTAGCTGACCCTAAGCCCTGTGGGTCCAGCTCTGTGCAGGAGGGCTCAGTCCATGCCCAAACAGGAGGGCGCAGTTGCCTGTCTGGAGAGACAGAGACTGGGGGTGGGGATGTGGGGAGGGATGGATGGAGAGAGACAAGGGGAGACAGGAGGGAGAACACAGATCTCCTAGGGCCTGAGTTGGGCCTTGGAAGAGGGGGGAGGATACTGGTGTCGGGAAGAAGGGGGACCTTGGGGTCAAGCCTTGTCAAGGGGAGGAGCAAGGCTTTGGAATCCTCGAATGCCAGGTTGATGAATGTCATCGGAATCGTGTGGGTTCAGATCAGCCAGGGCAGCTTCCTGAAGCAGGGCAGAAGTTGGGTTATTATCAGGGGCCTTGGGAAGGGCAGGGGGACTAACATGGGGCATCAGGAGGGTGCTGGTTTGGAGCTGCCATGGCCTGGACTGGTCAGGGCTCTCTTCTTGGCATCCAAGGCACCTGCCACCCCAGTCCCAGAAACCAGCAGTCATGCCTTAGAAGATGCCTTGAGATGCCTCTGTGTGGAGTGCTCTTTGACGGAAAAGCCTGGGCCAGGTGTGGTGGAGTGGACATGGCCCTGGACTGAGCTGGGTGGTTGTGGACAAATGAGTCAGTGACATGCTGGGGTTGCAACTGCTTGTGCTGCAAAGGCAGGGGGGTCCTGCGGTGCTCCCAGGGGGCTGGGAAGGAGGAAGGAGCTGGAGAAAGGAGATGTTCCTCCCCCTCCCCCAGCTGCCTGCAGTCCAGCCTTGGCGTGTGACACGTGGGGAAGCAGGCCCCGAAAGCTGGAGGGACTTGCCCAAGGTCATAAGCCTCATGCTGCCCCCACCTCTAGGCCAGGCACCTCACTCTACCCATAGGGAGACTGAGGCCTAGAGAGTGCCCTGCCCAGGGTCCGCAAGTGAGTGAGTTGGTCCTGAACGCAGGCTCTCCCCTCCATTCCTGGTGGCTCTAGCAGTGACCTGGAGAGTGTGAATCATCTGCCTTTCTCTGTTCTGACACGCAGGAGGGGAAGCGGGAAGCCCCAAGGACCTGCCCTATGGGCAAAGGTGACCGGGACTCTTGCTTTTGTGGGGAGGTAGACTCAGACAACAGGCAGACAGTGAGGTGCCCAGGGCCAGTGCTGAGGGATCTGGGGGGAGAGAAGAGCCCTGGAGGCTGGGACAGGTAGACATCACTTTCTGAATGGGCTGCGATCTCAAATCTGGCAAAAGCTCCAGGGAGACAATCCTGGGGCCTGGGGGGGCCTGGGAGGAGGTGGGTACCCTGGCCTGTTTAAGACCACAGCCTTCCCTCCAGCCCAGAAATAACAAAGCATCATGGGAGCAGAATGCAGGGTGGTGACAGCTGTGGGTGTGTCAGGCGGGGGCAGGAGGAGGAAGAGGGCTGGGCCCGAGGGTCTGAGAGGGGCTGTGCTCCTGCCCCTCCCCAGCTGGTCTGCAAGGGAATGCCCTCCCTCAGGTTTCTCTGGACAACGGGAAAGGATTTTCTTCTGGACAATTTTGTTTTTGAAATTTCAGTTTGGGAACAGTTTTTCAAATGTCACTGAATAAGAGAAAGAGCAGATGAGGGTTAGGAAGCCAGGATTCAGTCCCAGGCTGTACTGATGACTGGGTGGGTAACCTTGCACCAATCCCCACCTTCCTCTGGGCCTCAGTGGGTCTGACCGACAAAGGACAGCTTCGACCTGTTGTAAGCATGAAGATCATGATCACCCAGCTTGTGCAGCCCAGACACCAGGCTAGCCTGGGGAGGCCTCAGCACGTCTTGGGCTCCTTAGTCTCGAATTCACGTCCTGGCTGGGTGACCTTGAGAAAGTCATTTCCCTTCACACTTGGCTTTGGCCCTCTGGGTTAAGGGAGAGGCAGGCTGACTGATCTCTCTCCCAGGAGCCCAGCCATGTTCCTCCCCACCATGCTGTGGCTCTGGGTGGCCACTGGCCCTGCCCCAGGCTCCTGGAGCGGTGAGCCTGCTTTGGGCCTGCTTGTGGTGGGGATGCCACCTGGAGCAGCATTGGTCCAGCCGGGGAGGGAGCCTCTGGGACGTGTTCAAGGTCACAAGAAGTGGCTGGGTGTCATGGCGCACAGGTCAGCCCTTCCACTTTACATGGCAGGGCACTGTGGTAGCGCAGCAGTGGCAGTGGTATTGGCAGGGCTTTGAGGCCCTTCCCCGCCCTAGGCCTCAGTTTTTACATCTGTAAAATGAGAGGCTAGAGGCTCTCTAAATCCTGTGAGCCTGAGACCACAGAAAGGAACTGGTCAAGGTCACCCTGCTGGGCCGCCAGAATGTCCATGGGGCTGGGGCGGAAGGGGCAGGGGCTCCCTCCAGGTCACTGGGGGAGTAGGGCAGAGACAGATCTGCCGCCTTCCCATGAATTGCATTAATGAAAAGGGCCCAAGGTGGTGGTGATTGATTGTCCCCGAGCTACAGAGCCTTGGGAGATGCCTGGGGCCCCTCCCCTCTGGCAGACGAGAGCTGGGGGAGGGGTGGAAGCAGTGCTGGCCAGTGGAAGGGGGGGCCCCACCTGGCCCTAGAGAGCTCAGGCTTCAGCCACCCAGCTGAAGAAGACCCAGGCGAGTCTTCTGTGCTCCTGGTGCCTCAGTTTCCTTAGCTGTAAGATGCAGATAGTGATAATGAGAGGTAAATAGCTTCCCTGCAGATAACTCTGGTCCGGAGGTTTTGTCCTTAAGCTTCTGGTTCTGTTCTGTTCGCTGCCCTCCTAACCAGAGGCAGAGGCAGGAACGCCCCAACACATGCAGCCCCAACGAGGTGCTTCCCCTCTCAGCACTCTGGTCCTCTTGGAGAGCACGCAGGCACTGACCCACGCTGGCAGGCCTTTCTTAGGCCTCTGCTTGCTAATGCAGGGGGTTGTCTAGAGAAGGACAGATAGAGGATCACAGCCCTTGGCCAGGGCCCATGGGGAGGCTGGCTGGGGCACCTCAGGCCAAAGCTGCCTTTCCATCCTGATCCCCACAGGTGACCAGCAATGGCAGTGTTGGAGGAGACACACCCACAGAGACCCAGCAACAGAACCGAGCCCCGCAGGCCGCTCCGAATGCCTGGCAGGTCATCAAAGGCGTGCTGTTCAGGTAAGGAGCCCCCTGGCTGCTTGAGCCAGCTTCCCGGAGCCCAGCAGCTGCCTCAGCAGTGATTGTCTGGAACGGTGTGACAGGACCTCGCGCCCTCTTGTGGGGTCCCACCGCCCCCCCACAAAGCTGGTCTCACCTCTCCTCCCTGTGACCACCTCCAGGCAGCTGGCCTGCGTCATGCCCATAGCGGTGCTATGGCCCCTCAGCTTCCCTCACCAGAGGTGGGGCCAAGCTGCACATGGGCTTCCAGCTGGTGCTTTGGCTGCGCAGTGCCCAGGGCGACTCCGCCTCCATTGCTTCAGGTGCTTGGCCTGGATTAGCGCTGGCCCAAGGGGCCTAGCATTTTTAACACCTCGTCCCCATCTTGATGGGCTGTTTGCAGTCTTTAGTGTCCTTGTCTAGGCATTCGCCCACCTCGCATGGTCTAGCCAGTCAGCAAGGGTGTTACTGGTGCCTGCTCTGTGCCAGAGCAGCCCCTGCTCTCACGGAGCTCGCAGGGAGTCCAGAAGGGCTTCTTGTAGGAGGTGGTGCCAGGGCCCAGGCCTGAAGGAAAGGCTGGATTCCTTGTGAGGAGAGAGATGGAGAAGCCTCCTCTGACTGGGAGGGTGGCCAGGGCCCAGCTGGTGAGGAGCCTGTGGTGGTGCTGTTGGTCCTGGAGGTGATAGGGAGCCATTGCAGTTCCAAGTTGTGCTGTGGGCTTCTTCTCAGAATAAATAACCTCGTGAAGAACTGAAGGAAGAGAGGCTGGGGCAGGGCCAGAATCCCTGACCCAGAGACCAGGAGGCGCGCAGGAGTGTATCAGTCCTGGTGGGAGGGCATGAGGACCCATGTTAAGGCATGACCCTGGGTGGAGGAGGAGCAGACAGGCAGCCTGCGTGGTGTGGTGTGGAGACCAGGGCCAAGACCTGCCCGCGTGGGGGGTCTCTGGCCGATGCCCCCAAGGCCGCCATCCTCAAGGTTGAGGGAGGGATGGGGGGGCCCCCAGGAGCTCTTGGGAAAACAAGACTGGGTGTCTTTGGGTGAGGCCAGGTTAGCCCAGATCTCTAAAAGGAGCTAAGGCAACGTGTGTGCACTCATCTGCAAAGAGTGTCAAAGCCAGGCTTGGAGAGGACCTAGTGTGTTGAGTCACAAAGTGTTGGAAACAGGCGGATCCTGGGCTCCAGATGGGTCCTTAGGGAACACCTTGCCCTGGCCCCCTTTGGGGGTTTTTGGAAGCTGAGGCCTGGAGCACGGCCCTGGCCCGATCTGGGATTGCCCACATCCCTTGACCAGAGCAGGGGCCTTATGTAGGACGGTCGCGCCAGGCGCAGTCTGCAGCTGCCTTGGGGTCTGGCTCCATCCCCTCGGACAGGCCAGGAGAGCCCGAGGGGCAGCACAGGCCCAGACTCCGGGTCAGCCCTCCCCTAGGGTCTTTCCTCTTCTGTCACATGCGAGGGCTGGGCTTGGCCAGCTCTACGCCCTGTTCCTTGGAGTGGGCAGGACCTCCTCCTGGAGCTGCCTCCCGCCTCTTACTGGGCACTGCCCTGTGCATGCCACCAGGCCAGAGGGAGCGTTTGTGGAGCACGCAAGGAGTGCCAAGGTTCCAGGTGACTTTCGGAACCAGCCCCCTCATTTGGGGCAGCTGGGGATCGCAGAGGGGAGAGCGTGGTTTCTTAAGGAACACCTGAAGGGGCAGCTAGGTGGCACAGTGGATAGAGCACCAGCCCTGAAATCAGGAGGACCTGAGTTCAAGTCCGGCCTCAGACCAAACACTTGACACTTACTAGCTGTGTGACCCTGGGCAAGTCACTTAACCCTGATTGCCTCACCAAAAAGAAAAAAAAAGGAGCCCCTGGTGCAGTTCTCACATGGTACAGAAGATTTATAGAGCACCTCCTCATTTAATCCTCAGCCCTGAGAGGGAGGGGGTGAAATGATTCCTGTTTAACAGATGAGGAAACTGAGGCAGGCGGCTGTGAAGTGACTTGCCCAGGGTCACACAGCTTGCAAGTGTGGGAGGCTGGTTTTGGACTCAGGGCTTCTTGATCCCAGGCCTGGCACTCTGACAAGGGCATGAGGACTCAGGGAAAAGACTTGGAGGCTCGTGGCAGCTCCAGTGGGGCCTTGGCTCTCTCCATCGCCTTCCATGATGCCATGGCCGAGGAGCAGAGGTAGCTCAGGCCCACCTGCACCTCTTTCCTCCTCTTGAACGCAAAGGGAGCAGCCTGTGATGGGCAGGGGCAGTCCTGGGCTGGCCTCCATCGCCAGCCTGAAGAGTGAGCAGGTGCCCCCGCTTCTTTCTGTAAAATCTTGGGCGGGTCCTGCTTCCAGATTCCCGGTGAAGTTCTCAGTTGTCAGATTCAGTCAGTACTTACTGAGAGGCCCCAGTGGAGAGCCCTCAGTGTGCAAGGCCTCTAGCAGGGAGAGCCTCCGGCGTGGGGGGCCCGCAGGGTGTGGGGCCCCATGCTTTTGGCAGTGGCTCATGGTTCCTGTCCTCCGGGAGCTTACATCTAATGGGGGGAGAAGACAGACAGGGATAAGGGTCAGAGCTAGCATCCCATGCCATGTCACCTTGGATCACGTGAGAGATGCCCTCAGAGGCTGCCAGGCTGGACAGCTGGGGATGGGGGTGGGGCAAGGGGGGGTGGTCAGCAGGGCAGCTGGAAAGCCTTGTGAGCAGTCATTACAATAGTCTAGCAGGCAGGACAGAGGGGGCAGAGGGGAAATTCAGCCGAGCCCTGTGATGGGCACCCATGATACAGAGGAGAGCCCCACTTAGGGGCAAAGTTGTGGACAAATTGAAAAGCCAGTGCTGTGGGGAATTTGAGGGGCGAGAGATCCCTCTTGCTTGGAGTAGAGGGTGGGTTAAGAAAGGCTGCCCAAATGGGAAAGCATCAGAGCTGGGCCGTGAAGGAAGGAGGAGACTGGGGGGGGGCCCAGGGTGGTGAGGAATCTAGTACCTGACAAAAAGTGATGGGCGTGAAGGCTGAAAAGGTTAAAAAGACATGCTCCCCTGGGGACCATCCCCCCCAGGGCTTGGCCTGCACTGTCTCCAGGCTCCAGTGTCCTGGGCTTCTGGCTTTTCCCATCTCTGCCTGTAACCCTGGAGGGTCCTCTCACCCACCACACCTCAGGTTTTTCCATCTGCCCCCTGTCCCTTGGCCACCCTCGGTCTTTAAGAGGATGCTCTGGGGCCCAGCCCTTGGCAGGGCCTGGTTTCTCTGGACCTTATGGGTGTTTAGGGAAAAGTACTGGGGGAGATGTCACTGTCTTCCTCTCCCCATCTTTCTCCTTCCCTCCTCTCCTCAACTTTCTCTTTCCTCCTCTCTCTACTTTCAGGGTCAGCCATCCACAATGGAACAGACTCATCCAGCTTCTCGTTTTATAGAGAAGGAAGGTTAAGTGATTTGCCTGAGGTTATCTCACCCATAAATGGCAGAGGCAGGATTTGCACTCAGGCCCTCACAGCTCTTTGACCTGTACACCTCCTCAGATTGGAGGGGTGGTTGGGGCACCGCCCCAGAGGACTGGGTGAGGCTACCGTGCAGAGTGAGGCAGTTAGGGCCTCCCCCAGGATCGGCCAGCTGCCAGGCTGGGCCCTCCTGAGGCCACGGTCACCAGAAAGCTCCCCCTGAGCGGTAGAGCACCTCGTAAGGCCTGTGGGGATGAGGCGTGAGGCGAGGCAGGGAGACCATCTCTGGACTGGTTCTCTTGAGGCCCCTGGGCCCCCAGCAAGCTGGTAGGTGGCAGCAGAGTCAGGGTTTGAGGCCAGGTATCTTGTCACTCTGCAGGGAGGTCCTGGGCTGTGGCCAGCACTGCCTGTGGCCTCTGCAGTCAACCAGCCATTGCTTTCCCTTGTTTAGTACCGGGCCCTGGGGAGCCGAGGCAGGATCAGAACCCAGCACGCTGCTCCAGCCCCCACACTGACTTCCTCCCTGCCCTCAAGTCTACATTCTTTTTTTAAACAATTCTTTCTCTTTTTTTCCCAAAGCAAAGGCATTTAATGAAATAGCATAGTAAGAAATGTAACAATACGACATCCCCCCCCCAAACTGGGACATCCTCTCTCACAGATACGCCCTCAGCAGAAAGAGCAGACACATGCAGGGGTAGTGAACAAGAACGCTTCTGGAGGAGCACGCAATGGAGTTTGTTTTCTTTCTCATTGGGGTGGGAGAGGGGGAGGGAAAGAATTTGGAACTGAAAAGATCGAGAAGGTCTCTGTGCTTTACAGAAATAAATGGTTTTTAGGAGTTTTGGAATGATCCTGCCATTCTGGAGAGCAATCTGGGGCTATGCCCAAAGGGCTGTAAAATGTGCACACCCTTTGACCCAGCAGTAGCACTTCTAAGTCTGTATCCCAAAGAGGATCTGCACTTGCAGAGAGGCATACCACAGGGCCAGGGCACACGTGTAGGAAGCACATGAGGCAGGGTGCACGCCCACTAATGCTAAAGAGATGATGACATCTTCGGTCAATGCCATCACACTGCTTCTGTTGCTCCTGCTCCCTTCTGTGGCTTCCCATTGGGCATTGTTGTTTGTCTTTCCATCTCGAAGAGGACCATGACGTCAGGGAGGTGATGCCATGACTTGTAAGTGTATTGGAGTTAAGTGAGGCAGGGCTGTGCAGGGTCACCAGCCTCACTCTCCCCTCCAGAGCCATCTGGGTCCAGTGGCGAGAAATAGATGAGGACAACTGGAGATGCAGTGGGGACCTTGGCTTTTTTAAGTTAAGGCCTTTAACAGGTCCCAGTCTGACTGACGCAATACCCATTCAGTGATTAAGGCAGAGAATGGCCTTGTTGTTGGCCAGACAGTGAGAGCCAGAGCGATTCAGGTTAAGGCTTCTCGGTGTTGTTTGTTCTTCACACTTTTTTTTTCAATAATTAATGTTTAGTTTTCAACACCCAGTTCCATAAGATTTTGAGTTTTGAATTTTCTCCCCCTCCCTTCCCTTCCCCCTCCTCAAGACAGCGTGCAATCTGATATAGGCTGTACTTATACATGCACATTAAGCCTGTTTTCACATTAGTCATGACGTAAAGAAGAATTAGAACCAATGAGAGAAACCATAAGAAAAAAGAAACAAAACAAAACAATAAGAGAAAAGAGGAGCAAATAGTCCGCTCCATCTGCATTCAGACTCTGGGGTTCTTTCTTTGAATGTGGATAGCATTTTCCATTGTGTGTCTTTTGGAGATGTCTTAGATCCTTGCATTGCTGAGAAGAGCTAAGTCTATCCAAGTTAGTCATGGAACAGTGTTGCTGTTACTGTGTGCAGTGTTCTCCTGGTTCTGCTCACTTCACTCAACATCAGTTCATGTAAGTCTTTCCAGGTTTTTCTGAAGTCTGCCTGCTCATCTTTTCTTTTTTTTGTTTATTACTTTTTTTTTTTTTGGCTAGGCAGTAGAGTTAGGTGACTTGCCCAGGGTCACACAGCTAGTGAGTGTTATGTGTCTGATGCCGAATTTGAACTCAAGGCCTCCTGAATCCAGAGCCTGTGCTCTATCCACTGCACCACCTAGCTGCCCCCTGCTCGTCATTTCTCATAGCACAATAGTATTTCATTACATTCATATATCACAACTTGCTCAGCCGTTCCCCAATTGACGGGCATCCTCTCAATTTCCAATTCTTGGCCACCACAGAAAGAGCTGCTATGAATTTTTGTACATGTGGGTCCTTTTCCCATTTGTATGATCTCTTTGGGTTACAGACTTAGAAGTGCTACTGCTGGGTCAAAGGGTGTGCACATTTTACAGCCCTTTGGACAAAGCCCCAGATTGCTCTCCAGAATGGCAGGATCATTTCAAAACTCCTAAAAGTTGTTTATTTCTTTAAAGCACAGAGACTTTTTCATTCTTTTCAGTTCCAAATTCTTTCCCTCCCCCTCTCCCACCCCAATGAGAAGACAAGAAAGCAAACTCTATCACAAATACGTATAGTTGTGCAAAACAGGTTAGTCATGTTCAGAGCTTGTGTTCTGATGGGGGAAGCATCATGCCTGGCTAGGGAGAGAGGGAGGCAGACAGACAGACTGTGTGGGACCCAGACCAGCAGAGCCAAAGGAGCCTTGGCGGGGAAGGCCTCAGGCAGACATGGTGCTTGGGCAGAGTTTGGAGGAGCCAGGCCTCCAGGGGGACAGGAGCAGGGAGACTGTGGTGGCCGTCCGCTGAGGGAGAAAGGGAGGGGAATGGAGGGGGTGAGGGCTGCCGGGAGGAACTGAGGCCAACACCGGGAGCTCCAGGGTCATTTCGAGGCCTCGTGCACCCTTGGCCTTTTGGCTGAGATGGGCCCCTGGGGTTTTGGTGACCTGACTCCAGATTCTCAGATTCAGAGGGTGAGAGGTGGAAGAGATTGTCTTGTCTGACCCTCTGAGGCCCAGAGATGCTGAGTGATTGCCTGTGGTCACACAGTGCAGAGGTGGTGATTGATGGTAGCACTTTGCCAGGTAGTGTGGGATAGTGCCGGGAGAGTGGATGTTGGGCCACTCAGTGGCTATGCCTCCAGGCGGCTGCCCTCCACACCCCCTCTCTCTGTCAGTGACCTCTCCTCACCCTACTGGTGAGAGCCTGTGGCACCGTGAAGGTGGGACAGAAGTGACTAATCCAGGCCTTGCTGGCCCCCCTGCCCCTTATAGCTGGCACGTGACTCCCAATGCTCTGCCTGACACAACAGGCCCTCCTGGCATTCACAGCCGTTCATCCCCTCTTCTCCTCTCTCACACCTGCAGGATCTTCATCATCTGGGCCATCAGCTGTTGGTTTCGTCGTGGGCCGGCACCGCAGGACCCAGCCAGCCCTGGGGGAGCCCCCCGGGTGCCCAGCCGAAACCTCTTCCCAAAAGACACTTTAATGGTAAGAGTGTGGGGAGTGGGAAGGCAGCGGGGGCCAGGCTGGGACAAGCCTGTGGTGGGCGTGGACAGGCTGCAGGATGGTGGGGCCTCATGCCTGCTTGGCGCAGTTACCTTGGCTGGAAGGCCCCCTCGCCCGCTGGGGAGGCTCAGGGGAGGGATCAGGCTCCATTCCCCTCTCCATCTCCCTCGAAGGTGGCTCTCAGAAGGTTGTGAAGGAACCTAGAGATTGAGTTCAGTTCAGCAAATCCTCATCCTCATTGTGCCGGGCCTTGGGGTCAGAAGTACAGTCTCTGTCCTTGGGTGGGCAGCGCCATTCCCATGGATTGGCAAATACAGGAGGGAGAATGGTAGTAAGAGTGGGAAGCTTCAGGGGGGTTAGGCGGAGAAGGCTCCCAGCAGGTGGGCCAGGGGACCAGAGCCCTGTGGCCTGGGAAGGGAGGCCATGCTGCAGAGTCTGCAGGGGCTCAGACCGGCCCCTGGGAGAGGTGAGGAGGGCCCAGCCTGAGCAAGGTGGGAGCCTGGGAGTGGAGAGGAGGCCTGGGGCACTCCCTGAGAGTCAGGAAGACACAGGAGCCCGGGGGGCTGCGGACAGCACTGGGGGGAAGGGGAGGCCTTTGCCCCCTCCATCCTCCCGTCCACAGCCAGCCTGGGCGAGCCCTCGAGCTCCTCCTCGGCGTCGTGGGGGGCAGAGAGGCTGCACTGAGGCCCCTCTCCCCACAGAACCTGCACGTTTACATCTCCGAGCATGAGCACTTTACAGACTTCAATACAACCTCAGCGCTGTTCTGGGAGCAGCAAGACCTCGTCTACGGGGACTGGACCAGCGGTGAGAACGCGGACGGCTGCTACGAGCATTATGCCGAGCTGGACATCCCGCCGGTGAGAGGGGGCCTGGTCCCTCAGTTCAGCTCAGTAGACACTTGCCTAGTTGGGGCAGAGAAGGGGCCAGCCTGCATTGGAAGGACAGACTCCACTAGTCACATTGGAGACCCAGTCTCTACCTCGATAGAACACTTAAAAGTGGCCAAGCCCTGTGAGTACATGGACATGGTTGGGTTTGGCCAAGTTAGGAGCATTGATGAAGCACCTACTGTGTGCCAGGCATCATGCTAAGGGCTGGGGATTATAAATAGGCAGAAGTGTAGTGCCTGGGGCAGCAAGGGCGCCATAGTGCACAGGGCCCTGGGCCCAGAGTCAGGAAAGCTCATCTCTCAGTTCAAATCTGGCCTCAGACACTCACTAGCTGGGTGACCCTGGGCAAGTCACTGTACCCTGTTTGCCTCAGTTTCCTCATCTGAAAATGAGCTGGAGAAGAAATGGCAACGCACTCCAGCATCTCTGCCAAGAAAACCCCAGAGAGGCTCACGGCTACATGACTAAGCAGAAGTAACAGAAAGGAGTGCCTTCCCTGATGGAGGGGCAGCGTCTACAGATAGGGTCATTAGCGGAGGGAGGAGAGGCTTCTTGTAGAAGGGAGCCAGGGAGGTCCAGGAAGGGGGCACAGCCAGGGCAAAGGCAAGGAGGGGGTAGGTGGTGGCTGGAACAGCCGGAGGAGGTTGGAGCCGCTCAATCCCATGGTACGTTGGGGATGTAAGGTGTAAGAAGATTGGAAAAGTAGGGGAAGGGGCATAAAGGCTCCCTCGGAGCCAAAGGGTAGTAGGTCCTTGGTCGCAGGGTAGTAGGGAGCCACGGCAGTTGATAGAATAAGACTGGGGGTAACAGGGGAGGGGTCGGACCTCCACTTTAGGAAGGTCAAATGACAGCTGAGTCGGGGGTGGGCCAGAGTCTGGAGAGCCTCGGACAGGGACAACAGAGAGCAGTCTCCTGAAATGGTCCAGGCGTGGTGTGAGGAGGAGTGGTCAGGGAGGTGGGGGAGAGCCAGGAGAGAGGGACGGGGACAGCAAAAGGCCGCTGACTGGACAACCAAGAGCCCATTGCTCAGTTTGGAGGGAGCAGCTCCTGTGGGATGATGGGATCAGGAGCTGGACGGCAGAGAAGAGGGGAGAGGGCAGCAGGTGGAGGCTCTGACTGTAGGCACCTGGTGAAGGGAGTGAGAGACACAGGCCCTGGGTGTGTCTGGGAGCAGGAGGCAGGAGCCAGCGGGCAGGTGAGTGGAAGAGGGGCTGAGGCAGCTTCTCAGCTGAGGGCAGGGGTGCCAAGGAAGCAAGGGGGCGAGGCAGCAAGGCTGGGGCACGAGGCCACAGCACCACGACTTAGGTCTGGACCCCGTCAGGACGGCTGCGTGCTCTCCTCCACCTTTGTTTAGCTGTGCGTGTAGGAGGGAGGGAGCCGAATTTGGACTGGATCCCAGGCTGGGTGTTGGCTGGGTGAGGGTCTCAGTTGCCAGGCCAGGCTAGAGTGGAGCTGGTTCACTGAGAGGTCAAGATGGGGCAGAGAGAAGAGCGTAGCAGGGGCGGGGTGAGGCCCCTGGGGGCTGGAGGCCCAGGCACTTTCAGGTTTTCAAAGCATTTTACAAATCTTCCCTGATGTGGTCCACCAGAACACCCTGCAAGGGAGTAGGTGCTGTTGTGATCTTCATTTTACAGATGAGGCAGCTGAGGCCAGCTGAAGTTAAGGGACTTGCCCAGGGGCACATAACTAGTAAGTGTGTGGGGCTAGATTTGAACTCAGGACTTCCTGCCTTCAGGTTTGGTTTTGAGTGTGTGAGGGAGCTGTGGATTGACAGACGTTGTGATCAGATAACAGGGTCCAGGCGGAGTGTTGAGGGGTGCCTGCTCTGATGCAGTACCCAGGACCGTTTCTGCCTCCGGGAGGTTTTTAGTCAATTGGTCCTGGATCCCTGGGACTCAGGAAAGCAAACAGCGGGGCTAAGGAGAGGGCGCCATATAGGGGACAATAGTGCTTTGGTGTGGGGACATTGGGGGCTCCTCAGAGGCCTCAGCGTGTACGCCTGGAGAAAGGGAGGGGCGTTTGTGAATCAGGAGTGGCGGGATCCCTGGAAGCTGGGGACCTGAGGGGATCCTGCCTCTGACCGGGGACAAGCTCCTTCCCCTCTCTGCCCTCCTGGAAAAGGGTGGACGTGGACTCAGTGCCCTCAAGGGTTCTTTCCAGCCCAGCCTGTGATTCTGGAGGGGGGGGGCGCTGACCCAAGGGGCGGGCATGGGCGTTGAGCCAATGGAGAGAACCCTGGCTGCAGGGGAGGTGAGAGTGGGAGCATGTAAAAGATGGCTCTCGTCATCAGGAGCCACGTCAGGCCCTTTAGAAACAGGGGAGGGTTTGCAGGGAAGATGAGAAAGCTCAGCTTGAGTGGGGCCCCCCGAGTCCCGTGCTCCTCCCGAGCCCACGGGCCCGCTTGGTCACGCAAGTCACACTGAGCATGTGGTGCTCTGGAGGAGGCCCAGCGCGGTGGGCGATCAGCATTCAAGCCAGCGGTCTCTCTGCTTGGCCGTGCCAAGGGGGCCACTCGGGCTCCTGTGAATAACACCAGTCAGGTTGGCCTGGCCGGCCTGAAGAGGCTGCGGAGGCTGCTGAGCCTTGGGGGGCAGTGTGCCCCCATTTGTCCTGTGGGTAGGCCGTGGCTGCAGAGCCTTGCAGGGTGCCCGGCGTGTACTGTCCATCTCTCATCCCCAGACCAAGCCACAGAGTCCGGCCATGCTTATTGTCCCTGTTTTATAGGTGAAGACACAAGCTCAGATAGGTCAAGGGGCTTGCCTCGTGTCACCCAGCAAGGGACTGGGACCCTGACCCGGAGCTGCTGACATCCAGTCTAGTAGGACCTGAAAGAAGAGTCCACAGTGTGCGAGTGGGAGGAGGTGGTTCTGGGGGTCCTCATCACCTGCCCTCTGTCCATCCGTTTTCCAGAGTGTGCAGCAGAACGGCTCCATGTACATCCATGTGTACTTCACCAAGAGTGGCTTCCACCCAGACCCCAAACAGAAGGCTTTGTACAGGCGGCTGGCCACTGTGCATACGTCACGAAGTAAGGCTCCATGTGACCCGGCCCCCAAGCTCCTGACAGCCAAGCTGAGGGAATACGGGGGGCGGGGGATGCTGTCCTGGACCCCAGTCCCCATCGGCTCCAGCCTGGGTTGGGGCCAAGCCCCCTAGCCATCAGGACAAATGCCTTCCTCCTCCATCCAAAGAGAGCCCTGGCTGTGTCCTGGGAGGGGAGATGAGCCCCAGAAACCTCTAGCACAGCCCTGCCCAGTGTTGGGGAGCCCAAGGGGAAGTGGGCCAGCGGGCCCCCATCTGAGAAGGCTGCCAGAGGGTGGCTCTGCTACTTGAGGGAAAGACCATGGGGCACAGCGCAGTTCAGCCGATGTCTGCGAAGCAGTCGGCTGGGGTGGATGCTGATGTCAGGCACCGGCGGCCTCGAATGTCAGTCACGCCGAGGAGTTAGGAGAATGCCCTATGCATGACGAGGAGCCAGGCTGACGGGGGAGGAGGGCAGGAGGCTGGGGTCCAGCTGGGGTCACAAGACAGCTTCTGAAGGCTCCTCCCCTCCTGACGAGGACAGGAAGGAGAAGGCTGGCGCCAAATCCGTGGGCCTCGGGATTCGCGGTGTTGGTGGGCAGATCTGCCCTGGGGATGCAGCGGGCAGCGTGCCACGCGGCAGACCCAGACGTCCTGCCGCCCTCACGCTCCGCTTCCTCCTCCCTCTCTGCCTCTCAGTGATCAACAAGTATAAACGGAGACGATTTCAGAAGACGAAGAACCTGCTGACGGGCGAGACGGAAGCTGACCCTGAGATGATCAAGGTGATCCAGGGAGGAGGGACATGTGGGGGGTCCAGCTTCTGCTCCCGGGCCTCCCCCAGGGACAGTGAGGATGCGGGAGTCCACTCTCCGCGGCTCCCGCCCTCTCCAGGCCCTGACCTCTTGTGGTCTGAGGGCAGGCCAGGAGCATGGCGCAAGATGGCGCCTCTCGCTCCCCAGGGGCGTCCTCACAGAATCCCTGAGGAGAAGGGGCTCATTTGGTTCTTTCTGTGCAATGGGGGGAGGTGACACTGTGAAGTCATGCCACCCAGCCTTGCCGAGGGGAGGCAGGAGGATGGAGCAGGGGCAGCCAGGCCCGTGGTTGAACAAAGCACTGCCCCCTCTCCTGCCTCCTCTGCGCCTTGGTGTCCCTCTTTGTCACTTGCAGCCTTTGCTCTTCCTTCAGTCCTCTGGCCCATGCAGGACAAAGCAAATCTTTCTCATCCGAGACAGTCTTGAGTATGTCTGCTGCCCAGAACTGAGCTCAGTCTCCCAGTGTGGCTCTGGTCAGTCCTGGTCTCTGGAACTTTCATCCCTGCTGGCTGACCTTCCTTTGGAGTTGGAGGCCATGGCATCTGCTCCAGCCTCTGGGCCCCAGGAGCTGGTAGAGTCCCTAGCATTCTTCTCCCCCTCCTCTCTCCCTTGAAGGCCTGGGGCTCTCGGCTTCTCAGCCTGAGCAGGCAGCTGCCACTGAGGAGGTGGCTCCACTGAGCACCTTAGTGGAGATAAGATGGACCTTATGTACAGAAAGGCTAAGGAAGGGATCTAGGAGTGGCCAGGTAGTCTGAGGGGACTGTGAAGTCATAGATTGCCCAGGACCTAGACCACCAGGCCAAGGGAGAATGGAGCCTAGATAGGATTAAAGATGGGAAGTGGCTGGGGCTATAGGGAGGTAAGACATTGGTGGGCTAGGAGCCCAGAATTGGGAGATTGGGTGTAGGAACAGCCTGTTGATAGGATTATACCTTCAGAGGCTTCCTTGATCAAGTAAGAGAAGTCAAGGACAGTCCAAGGGTTTTGTAGGGCCTGTAGACAAATGGGGGCCAAATTAGAACAAACATCTCTGACTGGGCCTATACCTCATCATTCCCCCGCCTCAAACGAGTGGAACCCAAATTCTTTTTGGGGTAAAGGGCAAAGGTCTTGGCTTCTGAAACTGCTTCCTGCTGGCAAAGGGTCCCGTTCAAGGGGTCATACTTCAGAACACAGCTGACGCCAGGTGCAGTAGACTAGAGACCTTGGACTCGATCAGAGGTTGGTATGTTTCCTCTGGAAGTTGATGGCTCCAAAGCTTCCAGTCTTAACTGGAGAAGAGCTTGGGACTAGGCAGTTTTTCTTGCTCAGGGAGCCATATGTTGAGGTCTAGAGGTTTAGGGGTGCTGGGACTCCAAAATATCAAGAGCAAGAGACTCAGGTCCTGCCTGAAAGAATTCGACCCAAGCCTCCTTTCAGCCAGAGACAAGGTTTATTTATTAAAGATCCACCATATTGGCCAGACTCATAAGGAATCTGAACATTTGTGGGCTATCGGCTAGGTTCTTAAGGAATCTGAGCCTGCCCCTTATTCTTTTGTTTTTTAATTTTTTATTAGTTTATTTTAATTTATCAACAATCACTTCCATAAGCTTTTGAGTTTAAAATTTTTCTCCCCCGCCGTCCCCAAGATGGTGCGCAATCTGATATAGGCTTTACAGATAGAATCCTATTAGGTATATTTTCACATTAGTGATGTTGTAAGGAAGAATTAGGACCAATAGGAAAAACCACAAAAAAAAAATAGCAAAATGTGTGCTTTGATCTGCATTCAGACTCCGTAGTAGTTCTTTCTTTGGATGTGGATAGCATTTTCCGTCATGAGGCTTTTGGAGATGTCTGAGATCCTTGCATTGCTGAGAGAGATTAAGTCTGTCAAAGTCAGTCATTGTACAACGTGGCTGTTACTGTGTACAACGTTCTCCTGGTTCTGCTCACTTCACTCAGTATCAGTCCATACAAGTCTTCCCAGGTGTTTCTGAAGTCCCCCTGCTCATCATTTCTCATAGCACAATAGTATTCCATCACATTCATATACCACAGCTTGCTCAGCCATTCCCCACTGGATGGGCATCCCCCCCGATTTCCAATTCTTGGCCCCCACACAAAGAGCTGCTCTAAATGTCTCTGTATATGTGGGCCCTTTTCTGCCCCTTATTCTTAAGAGAGTGACCTGGGCACACCAAGGTTCATTGCCTGCTGGGGGGGGAGACTTGCCCTCTTCCTGGCCCTGAGGCCTACTCTGCCTTCCATGCTGGATACTACCACTGCTATACAAGTGTTAGTAGTTAGTATTACAGTTGTTACTGGGGCACTGGGGAGCCACTGAAAGCTCTGGAACAGGGAGGTGACAGGCTTTCAGAATGGCCCCGGATTGGAGAGGGCAGAGGGTGCAGTCAAGGAGCAGGTCAGTGCAGAACTTGGAAGAACAGTGAGATAAATGGCTGTGAGGTCTGTCAGGAGGATAGCTGGCACCACTAGGCTTTGTGGTTTACATTAACAATGAAGAAAACTCTGAATTTCACCTAGAGGTTAGTAGGAATAGACAAGGTTTTTTTTCCTATCTAAGCGCATGGACCCTCTGAAATTCCCAGTAAGACTTGCATCCTCCTCTCTCAGGTGAAGTGGCCCTGCTCTGGAGATAGCATCAGTGGGACTTGGGAGTCCCTGGGGAGAGGGAGGGGTCAGAGACAGCTCTGAGATAGAAATGTGGATGACCAGGGAGGCCGTGAGAGGGGCAGCTGCAGGGGAAAGCCAAGGGGAACCCGAGACAGGCGCTGGAGGGAGGGAACTGGACAGTTGGATTATGGCCCAGGGAGTCTGGCTTAACCCAGGGGAACCAGGAGAGAAGATGTAGAGACAGAGGCTCAGCACAGAGCCCTAGGGGCCCTGACACCCCTGGGGACGAGGGGAACAGACCCGCACAAGGGGCCACAGGGAAGGAACGATCAGATGCTGAGAAGGGCTAGCCAGGGGGCCGGTGAGGGTGTGATTGGGAGCTGTTGGGTGCAGAGAGACTTGGAGGGAAAAGGCCCACTCATCTGCCCGCTGGCTCCTGCCTCCTGCTCCCAGACACACCCAGGGCCTGTGTCTCTCACTCCCTTCACCAGGTGCCTACAGTCAGAGCCTCCACCTGCTGCCCTCTCCCCTCTTCTCTGCCGTCCAGCTCCTGATCCCATCATCCCACAGGAGCTGCTCCCTCCAAACTGAGCAATGGGTTCTTGGTTGTCCAGTCAGCGGCCTTTTGCTGTCCCCCGTCCCTCTCTCCTGGCTCTCCCCCCACCTCCCTGACCACTCCTCCTCACACCACGCCTGGACCATTTCAGGAGCCTGCTCTCTGGCCCCCCTCCCCACTCAGTTAATTGTGACCACAAGAAAGTCCACTGCCTCCTCAGAGGCTGAAGCTGGGGGCAGGGATGGGGAAAGGGGCAATAGATTTTGAGGGGCAGGACAGAGGAGTCAGTTATTATCTGCCCAGGTGGTGATTGGAGGCTCGAGGAGAGAGGTTTGCAGTGACCGCCGGGCAGGCCCTGGACGGGAGTTTGTCGGAGGCGACAGAGGAGGAAAGGCCTCCCGGGCAGCGGCCAGAGCTCACGAATGATAGCACCGGCCGCTCGCATTTCTCTCACGAGGGCTTTGTGGACTAGGAAGCACGTGGTGCGCTTGGGCTCTGCCCAGTAGGAAGGGCCCAGAGAGTTCGGAGCGGCTGTGCAGCCTGGGCCTTCCTCCAGCTCAGCCTTCCCTGTACTCTTGCCCCCCCAGCGAGCAGAAGACTTTGGCCCAGTGGAGGTCATCTCCCATTGGCACCCCAACCTCACCATCAACATTGTGGATGACCACACGCCCTGGGTGAAGGGCAGCGTGCCTCCACCACTGGACCAGTGTAAGCATCCCTCCTCCCCTGGACCCACAGCCTCCCTCTGTCTCCCCTCTCTCTGCCTGTCCTCCCTGAGGCAGCCAGCCCCAAAGTTGACATTCCCTTTGCCACCTCTGTGGTTTCCGTTTCCACGTCGGCGGGTCCCTTCTGCTGCCCCTGTCATTTCCCTGGGGGCTGCTCGGGGGGCCTCAGGAGCCTGCCTCGGAGGCCCCCCGGGTCTCTCCTCCCCTCTTTGTGCCCCTCATCAGAACCTTGAAACTTTGATATTGGAATAAGATGGATGGTCGTCTGCAGAGGGGCGCTGTGGTCTCATGGATAGATCACTGGTCTCAGAGCCTGTCTCCGACCCATACTGCCGGTGTGACCCTGAGCAAGTCGCTGCTCCCCTCGGCACTCCAGGCAGCTCCCTGGAGAAGGTGCCCAGCCATGTGTTAGTCGGGACTTGGTTATAGCTGCCAGTGAAATTGCAGGTCCCCAGCCTCCCCCTTTTTGTTGGTGAGGCCTCTTCATTTTATCCTCAGGCCACCTCACCACTCACCTGCCCTTTTGGCCACCTCAGGCTGCCCTTGTTGCCGCAGGCCCGGGCCTTCCCTGACCGGCCCTGTCCTGCCCTGCCCCCCTGCAGATGTGCAGTTTGACGCAGTGAGTGGGGATTACTACCCCATCATCTACTTCAACGACTACTGGAACCTGCAGAGGGACTATTACCCCATTAACGAGACGCTGGCCAGCCTGCCCCTGCGCCTCTCCTTCTGCCCCCTGTCCCTGTGGCGCTGGCAGCTCTATGCGGCCCAGAGCACCCGCTCGCCCTGGAACTTCCTGGGAGAGGACCTGTACGAGCAGTCGGATGAGGAGCAGGACTCGGTCAAGGTGAGCGCGCAGGGCCAGGGGAGGGGAGGAGGATGAGGCCGGACGACCGCCCGGGCCACCTCCACCACGGTGAGGCTGCGTGACGCTGGGCAAGTCACCTCGCCTCGCCTCTGTTTGCCTCAGTTTCCCCCATGTAAAATGGGGATAACAGGGTTGTTGTGAAGATTAAATGACATGTTTATAAAGTGCTCAGCACAGTGCCTGGCACTTAAGAAATGCTTGTTTCCTTCCCTTCTTCCCTCCCTCTCGTCCTCTACCAAATGAGAGGGGTTAGGGTGACCTGATCCCGAAGCTGAGAGTCCTTCTGTTAAGCCTCTGACTGGAGGGCTGGGCCTGGCGGACACAGCCTAGGGGAACGCAGCCCGAGGCGCTTGGGTCGGGCCTGCTGCCTTGATGTCCCCCTCCTCAGGTTTCCTCTCATCCCTCCCTGATTTTTGTCTTGTCAGTGTGTGTCTTCTGGGCTCGGGACCTGGGTCCCAGGGGAGCAGAAGCAGGGGTAGCGCCTCAGATTCCTTCCTGACAGTCCCTGTGGGGCAAGGGCCCGTCTGTTGCTGATGAGGAGCCCACGAGACAGTCTTGGAGCCCCAGAGAGGAAGAAATGGGAAGAGTCCTCAATCCCATTGACCCTGTGTGTCACTACCCTCCTAGGTGGCCCTGCTGGAGACCAACCCCTACCTGCTGGCCCTCACCATCATTGTCTCCATCGTACATAGCGTCTTCGAGTTCCTGGCCTTCAAGAATGGTAGGAGTCCTTTGGGTTGGGACGGGGCTGGAGACCAGAGACCCTCCAGCCTGGAGGAAGCCGCTGCCTACACGACCCCCCAAAAAGAGTAGTGGGGTGGCTTCCCGGCCGGCTGGAGGTTGGTCAGGGCAGTCCCCAGAGGGTGGGGCAACAGGCGGGCACTTCCAGGCAGAGAGCAGACAAGGCTCCGCCCCTACCCAGGCTTCAGGGGATCAGGGAATCAGCTGCCTGAGCCAAGGGGAACTCCAGGGCCCTGGGTCTGACAGGAGAGGGTCCCAGCACCAGGGGGAGCCTCAGAGCTTCCATCCTGGAGGAGGGCCCAGTGTATGAGGGGACACAGGGCCCTGAGCTGGAGATGTGCCCCCCCCAACCCCCTCCTCCATCCTGGGCTCACAGACATCCAGTTTTGGAACAGCCGGCAGTCCCTGGAGGGCCTCTCGGTCCGTTCGGTCTTCTTTGGTGTGTTCCAGTCTCTCGTGGTACTTCTCTATATCCTTGACAATGAGACCAACTTTGTGGTCCAGGTCAGCGTCTTCATCGGCGTCCTGATTGACCTGTGGAAGATAACCAAGGTCATGGATGTCCGGGTAAGGGTCCCTGCCCTGCTGGGGAGAGTGCTGACCCCCGACTCCTAGCCCTCCCCCCTCCCTGATGACCCCCCCCCGACTCCCAGCCCCCAGTGTAGGACCAGGGAGTTTCCAGAACCACACCACACCACACCCCGCCCCCCAGGATTGGGGATTTTTTGGTACCAGAGGAGCCCCTTGGAGTATGGCAAACAGAGGGGCATTGGGACTGATCCTCAGAGAGGAGAGCCCTCCTCCCTCTGCTCAGTCCTCTTTCCCTCACTTGTAGCTGGACCGAGAGCACAAGGTGGCTGGTGTATTCCCCCGCCTGACCTTTAAGGATAAATCTACATATATAGAGTCCTCCACCAAAATTTATGATGATGTGAGTGTGGGGTGCAGGGCCCTGGGGTGAAGACAAGGTTGGGGGCGGGGAGGAGGAGGGCTGTGAGAGACTGTGGGGAGACCTGCGGGCAGATTGGGGTGTGCCAAGAAGCTCAAAGTCCTTGTGTGTTACCTGGGAAGTCCCTCGGGCAGGACCAGAAAGCCAGGAAGGCAGTGTGGGTGTGAGAGAGGAGGGCGCTGAGGCCAGGCCCCCAGCAGCCGCCCTCGCCCCCTCTGCAGATGGCGTTCAGGTACCTGTCCTGGATCCTGTTTCCCCTCCTGGGCTGCTATGCTGTGTACAGCCTCCTGTACATGGAGCACAAGGGCTGGTACTCCTGGGTGCTCAGCATGCTCTACGGCTTCTTGCTAACCTTTGGTGAGTGGTGGGTGGCCCCATCCTGCCTCCTCCAGTCCCCCCCTCCTCACGGCCAGCACGGGCTCGCAGCCCTTCTCCCAGAGTAGGGAGGAGAGACCCTGGGGATGTGCCAACCCTGCTAGGGGCTCTGGGCGGGCCCGGGCCTTTCTTGGGCTCAGACCCAGTGACCTCTGCGGACCCTCTGGCCTCTGGAGCCTGTCATCCTTTTGTCCACAAGGCAGAGCGGACAGAGCTCTGAGAAGGCCTGACTTCTCCCCCACCACCGTCCATACACGTGCACGTGGGGACGCAGGGCCCAGGCAGCCCTGCCCACACTGAGGGGTATCTGAGGCCCCACCAGGACCAGGCACAGGAGGCCCAGCTGCTAATTGCTGCCCTAGATCCAAACACTTTCCCTTTTGCAGCTCTGAAGTTTTGGGGTCCCCCCGAGATCAGAGGCTGGAGGGGTGAACTGTGCTGGAGGAAGGACCCAGGGATGGGGAAAGGGCCTTGCAGCTAAAGGAGGAGAATGGGGGAGACCGTGGGTCCCTCCTGACCTTGTATGGACCCCTCTGGCCACATCCGCTCAACCGAGCCAGCCCTGTGTCTTTCCCCCCAGTGTGATAGCCGGAGCACTTTGTGGGGGCGGTGGAGGGGTCCTGAAGCCCTTGCTACAATCTCAGTTTTGCCCCTCACCTGATACAGCCCACCAGACAAGACATTGGCCCCAGCCTCAGTTTCTCCATCTGTAAAATGTAGACGTTGGCCTTGTTGGCCTCTGAGGTCATAGAATCGCCTGTTTAGATCTAGAAAGGCCTTCAGAGGCTGTCTGGTCTAACCCAGGAATACTAGAGATGAGGAAACTGAGGCCCTTTCCCAAGTTCCCCCGGCAGTGCTTTCACCTGCCCTCTTTGCATCCATCCCCAGGCTTCATCACGATGACTCCCCAGCTCTTTATCAATTATAAGCTGAAGTCGGTGGCCCACCTGCCCTGGCGCATGCTGACTTACAAAGCCCTCAACACTTTCATTGATGACTTGTTTGCCTTTGTCATCAAGATGCCCGTGATGTACCGGATTGGCTGTCTTCGGGATGGTGAGCCAAGGGTGGGGGGGCGGGGCACAGCCCCGTGGGGCCTGGAGGGATGGGGAAGGTGGGGGCACAGCCCTGGGCCAGGCCCTGGGGCAGCTCCTCAGACTAACAGGAGTCCTGGTGGAGGGAGGGAGAGACAGGCAAGGTGGGTGGGTAGCCAGGAGGAGCCAAGACCCCTGAGGGAACAGGATTCTGGTCACATATAGCTTAGCTGGAATTCAGTTCAATAAACATTTCCTAAACACCTGATGTGCCCCAACACTGGACTAGGAACAAGTCTGAAGAACAGCCTCCTCATGAGGCAAAGGCCGTCCTCTGGAGGGGGCGGCCTCCCCAGGGGAGCCTGCTCTTCTGAGGTACTTGGGAACCACAGCTCCAAGGTCTCTTAAAGGCATCGAGGAGAGGGGTCTACCTCGAAGGCAATGGCCAAGCACCTGGGTTCAAATCCTGCCTTAGTCACTTCATAGTGGTGTGACCTCGTTCAAGTTACTTTTCTGGGTCTCAGTTTCCTTCTCTGTAAAATGAGGAAGGCCTCCGAAGGTCCTTCCATCTCCCTGATCCTCATGAAGAAGCCAAGAGTAGCCTCGGGCCACTAAGGAAGCTGTCGTGGCTGAGGGTGGAAGGAGGGCAGCTTGACCAGCTTGACCAGCTCAGCCCCTCACTCGTCTCTCTCCTCCGCTTTTCCAGACGTGGTTTTCTTCATCTACCTTTATCAGCGATGGATATATCGGGTGGATCCCACACGGGTGAACGAGTTTGGCATGAGTGGGGAGGCGCAGACAGCTGTGGCAGCCCTGACGCCGCCAGCAGCCCCCAGTGGCGATGGCCCCCTCTCTGGACGGGACCAGGGGCCCGCCCCCAAACCGGCAGAGGACAAGAAGAAGGATTAGTCTCTTTCCCCTGGTTTCCCTGGCCACCAACATTCTTCCTGTTCCCCCCCCCCCAGCTCACTGTGACCCCCATCTCCCCTGCCCTGGACAGACGGGGAGGGAGGGAGCTGGCAGGGGGCGGGGGAACGCTCCCCTGTTGTGATATGGGGGGAGAAGGCAGAGGAGGGTTGGGAAGGCCAATGTTGGGGGCGTGGGAAGCAGGGCGCTCCCTGCCTGTCTGTCCCTATGTGGGTTCCAGCGCCATCTGTAATCATTGTAAGCCATCGCATCATGGCGGGGAGGTGGGGTGGGAGGGGGCTGAGGCCCCAGAGCTCTCCCTCTCAACCCCTAGATCCATCTCTCATCCCTTCCCACGTCCCTCCTCCCCCAACACAGACTCTGGATTTAATAAATTCATATGGGTGTTTAACTTATGCCCTGGCACATCGTCGGTCCTCCTTCCACTGATGGCCGTTGCCCCGGGCTCTGGGGCTGCAGGACAGTTCCCTGGAGCTCCCCTCTGCCCGCCGGCCCTGGCTTTTATCACGGCCTTCCCCTTCCTGCCGGGTCACGTATTCTGAGCTTGGGCCATCCTGGGCCACAGGGGTGCCTCCAGAGGGGTGGGGGGCAGAGGGGCAGAACCCGCTTAGGGCCGGGGCTCCCCTCTCCTGGAAGGGCAGTGGCCACCCCCAGCCCTGCTCCCCCAAATAGGTCCTGGTTCCTGGGCGAGTGTGACCCTTCTAGAACTCCTTCCATGACTATGTCCCCCTAGAATCCTAGGTTTCCTCTCCTGCCATTCTTTAGGGGCCCGTGCCTGTACCCACGCTTTCGCTCCCATCTCCCCTCGAGACCACTCGTTGGCATCGTCGTCCCCCACCGCCAATTACCCTTCCTCCAGCAAGAGTAGAGAAGGAAGAGCTCCAGCGTTGGATTTCCAGCACCGGGATCCCCAGGGTCAGGCCCCGCCCCACTTCCCGGCCGGCTCCGCCCCCGGCCCAGGCGGGCCGGCGTGAGGTCACGTGGTGCGCGGGGGTTTCCCCGCTCCACCCGCCGTGACGTCATGGGCCAGGCTAGGCCAATGGGGGCGGCGGACTGCGCAGCGCCGGGGAATTCCGCGGCCCCGCCCCCAGCCTCCCGCTGCCTCCCCCGCCCCCCTGCGGCCCGGCCCGGCCCGGCCCGGCTCCCGGCTCCGACTCCGACTCCAGCTCGGCTCTGCTGCGGCCCGTGGGGAGCCTGCCCGGCTCAGAGCGCACCGCGCCCCTGGCTCTGGGCCCCGGGCCCCTGCCATGCGGAGGAGCTGCCGCCCGGCCCGCCCGGCCCCCGCCGCCCCTGCCGCGGCCGCCGCCTCCGTGCTGGCCGCCATGGGTGAGAGCCCCCAGCCCCTGACAGTGGGACAAAGATCAGGAGGGTCAGAAGTGGGTGCGGGGACGAAAAGGGGGGGGCAGATCAGTAGCGTCAGGGGAGGAAACAAGTGGGGGGCAGAGAGGCTAAGGGAGACGGATTGGGAAATTCAGGGGAGGGGGGCAGAAGTGGAAGTCTGAGCAGCTAAGGGGGGGTAGATCGGGAGGGGCCGAAGTGGGGGGGCAGTGCGGCTAAGGGGGGCAGATGGGGGAATTCATGGGAGGGGGCAGAGGTAGGGAGCAGAGCTGCTAAGGGAGGCAGATCCAGAGGGGCAGAAGTTGGGGGTCAGAGCGGCTAAGAAGGGCAGATTTGGAGGGGCAAAAGTGGAGGCAGGAGGGAGAAGGGAGGCCCCAAAGAAACAGAGATGGAGAAGAGGGAGCAGGGCAGTCAAGAGACAGGGATGGAAGTGGGAAAGGAGGAGAGAGAAAAGGAACCGTCTCAGGAGGACAGAGATGAGTCTGAGGGGAGGGGAGCAGAAGTGGAGAAGCAGAAGAGGAAAAGGGGAGGACCCCTAAAAGGACAGAGGAGGGAAGAGGGAGAAAGAGCAGGGGGTCCAGGGGAGGGAAAGGGGGGGACCCCGTAGGTGAGGCAGAGATGGAGAAGGTAAAGGTAGAGGAGCTGGGAAGGAGAAGGAGACCCCAACCCCCCATACACCCCATGAAGACAGATGTGAGGAAGGAGAGGAAGAGGCAGAAGTAGGAGAGTTCAGAAGGGAAAGGGACCCCCGCCCAGGCCAGAGATACGAAGGGTCCTTGTAGAGGGAGCTGGGAAGTTAAAGGAGACCCCTCCTCTTCCAGGGCAAAGAGAAGGGGGACAGGGACAGGGATGGGGGCGGGGGGAGCACAGGGAAGGAAAAGAAAGGGGAGGTACTGGAAAAGGAGTTGGCAGAGTTGGGAAGAGGGCATGAGAAAGGGAGAAAAAAAGATGCTCTGCCCCGAGTCCGGCAGAGATCAGGGGAGGGGGGAGCACCAAGGCAATGAGGGAGAAGGAAAGGGAAAGGGGACCCCCCCACATCCCATGCAGAAGGATGAATGACCCTAGGGAACACAGGGGAGGAGGGACAGGGGCCATGCCCCACTCTGAGACAGTAAGTAGAGCCCAGAATCTTCCATGAATCTTCTCCTTCCTAGGCCCCACTGACCTCCCAGCCTTGACTCTGCCCACCTCTCGGACCACAGGTAAAACCGCACTCTTCCCCTGCTCTGTCTCAGGCCTTCCTCTGGCACTTAGCACAGTGTCTGGCATACCACAGGTGCTCAATAAATGCTCATTGACTGTCAGGCTCCTGGAGCACTCCTTTGCGCCCCAGTTTTCCTCATCTCTGAAATGGTCTCTCACTTCCCTGCTCGCTCTGACATTGTGCTCCAAGAGTCAGAGCCTCACAGGCTTTGTGCCGCAAGGGTCTTTAGAGGCCAATTTTAACAGATGAGGAACTTCCCCGAGGTCACACAGGTAGTGAGTGACTGACTTTGGATTTGAACTCAGACCTACTGACTCAAGCCAAGTCTTTCCCCTCTGTACCATCACCTGCTTCCTCTCAGCTCTGACATCCTGTGCTCTAAGGACCCTCCCCCTACCAGTTTTGCTGGTCTGTAATTCTACAGTCTGTCCCAGCTCTGACATTTCATGTTCTAAATTCCCTCCCAGCCCTGACCTTCTGAGGTTTCATTTTTTGTTGTAGTGCAGTGAATTTACCTTTTCAGTCTTTCTGATTGAAGGGAAACACAGTTCCCTGGCCTCAGACTGGGAGGGGGAGGGGAAAGGTCACTGAAGAACCAGGAAGTGCTGTGGCCCCAGGGCAGGTACCTGTAGGTAGCCACTGGGCCAGCTGGGAGGTGGAGGAGAAAAGACTGGGATTCCCCTTTGATGCTTCTGCCCTGCCCAAAGTCCCTTCTGTGAGGAGGGAGCAGCCTGGCCTGGTTTGGAGAACTGGGTTACCATCCAGCTTCCAGCTGGCTGGCCTTCTGCCTCTCCCTCTCTGGGGCTAAGGATTATCTCAGTTTCCCCATCTGTACATCGAGGGGCCTGGGCTGCATGGAATCCAGAGTCCCTTCCAACTCTTAACATGCTATATATTATTTTGACCCCCAGCCCCTCTCCGGGCCTGGGAAGAGGCTAGGCCCCTAAATATCAGGATGAGAACTCTGATCCCTCCTTGGGCTCGGTGCCTCCCTTCCTCCTCCTCTATCCCTCCACTCTGCTTTCTTTTTCTACCCTTGTATCTCTCCCTTCATGATCTGGCTCATTCTCTTGCATGGTCCAGGAATCTTGGGGGGCTAGGAGTGTCCCCAGAGCAGGGGAGGGGCAGTGTCCATGCATAGGTGGGGCCCCAAAGGGCAGAGATACCTGGGGAAAGAAAGAAAGGAAACCTAGGACTGGGAAAGGCTGAGAGAACAGAGTCAGGGGACAGAGGGCCAGGAGGAGGGGAGGTCCCTAAGGGTCTCTTTAGACTCTCTTAGGCCTGGAGCCTTGGTGGCGGGGATGGGGGAAATGGAATTTGAGGACTGACCCTCATTTCCCAAAATGAGGACGGGACCCCAGCCTTGAGTGTTAGGAGATGTGAGGTTTGCTGCTGTCTTGATTTGTTGGCTTAGACAAGTCCTTTTCCAAGCTTCGGCCTCAGTTTCCTCAGTTGTCAAATATAAAGTGACCTCTAAAGTATTTGTGTGACCTTGACATCTTGACTGAATGAGTCCCTTTGCCTAGCTGGGCTCCAGTTTCCCTCTCTGAGGCTGAGGACCTAGATTCAAATCCTACCCCCCAAACACTTACTACCTGTGTGACCTTGGGCAAGTTACTTTATTACTTTGCACCTCGGTTTCCTCATCTGTTAAATGGGCTGAAAGACACCTAAGGTGTAAAAGGGGGTGGGGGGAATGCAGAATGGGAGGAGGGAGGTCTAGGGTGAAGATGATGGAATTAAATTGGGGGAGGGGGGTGAGGAGGGCGAGTAAAAGGCTTGGGACAAAGTCAGGAGAGATCTTGTCTCTGTGTGCCAGTAAAGGAGAGACATTGGCCCTGAGCATCTGCTCCCCTGTCTCTAAAAGAGCTCCCCCCAGGGGCATTAAGATACCGAAGTGCCTGAGGCACCTTGCCAAACTCAGAGCATTTAAGAGTTATTTTTATGGGCCTCAGCTCCCCTGTGCATAGAACTGGGGAGGGGGGGGCTCCTTCTAGCTTTACCATTACATCATCTGCTGGCAGGTCCAGGGGTAGAACTGGCGAGCACTTCCTAGTGATTGCAGGACTCTGATCTCTCTCTCTTTCTCTCCTCTCTCTTTCCCCTACAGATGAGTTGGGTAAGTGGGGGGGGGGCCCCCAGGGGAGGATCGGTGGGGGCCTCTGGGAGGAGTAGGTGGTGACCTCAGGAGAGACATGAGAAAGGAGGGGCCACCCTTGCGGGGTTGGGGGAGAAGGAGGCCTGGGGCTTCAGAGGCGGATGACTGACTTGCTGATGTTACCGGACCCCAGACATCATTGATGAATACATTAAGGAGAATGGCTTCCCTCTGGAGCGGGCCTCTTCTGGGGAGGGAGGCCTCCGGCTGGTCCCTCGGGGCCCCGCCTCCTTGAGCACTGTGACCCTGGGGTGCCCACCCCCCCCACCCCCGCTCCCACCAGCCTGGCCAGGCCCCCGGCCCCACCTGGTCATCACGGAACAGCCCAAGCAGCGGGGGATGCGCTTCCGCTATGAGTGCGAGGGCCGCTCTGCTGGCAGCATCCTTGGAGAAAGCAGTACAGAGGCTAGCAAGACCCTGCCAGCCATCGAGGTGGGTGCTGGGGGAGGGGTCAGGGCATGGGGAGCCGGCGGGCACAGCTGGCAGCAGAGCACTTCGCATCACCCGCTGCCCCACAGCTCCGGGACTGCGGGGGCATCCGGGAGGTGGAGGTCACAGCCTGCTTGGTGTGGAAGGACTGGCCCCACCGCGTTCACCCCCATGGCCTCGTGGGCAAGGACTGTGCTGATGGCGTCTGCCGGGTCCGACTGCGGCCTCACGTCAGCCCGAGACACAGGTACCCGACGTGATCCCTGCTGAGCCTTCCGAGCCTTAGAACGAGTGCCGGGCACTTAGCAGAGTTGGACCTACCCCGGGACAGATGCGACTTTGGTGTGTGTGTGTGTGGTGGGCGGGGGAGAGTGCACTTCACAGGATCAGATAGCGAGCTGGAAGTGGCCCCAGAAATCTGGCCTCTCGTTTTATAAGAGACTAGAGCATCAGACAACAGTGATACACCAGGCTAGTGAGAGTCCAGAGTGGAATCTGATCCCGGCTTCTTGCCTCCAAGAGTCTGGGCTTCCCCCCTGAGGTGACCGCCTTTGGTACTTAGAAATGAATAGAAACGATGTGTTGTTAAATATTGTGTTTGATGTTCACATTCCCGGAAAGGCCCCATCCAGTCAATTCTACCAAGGCTGTGCTTCCCTGACCCATCAGCCCTACTCTCTGGGGCTTGCCTCCCCCATTAGAACGTAAGCTTCCTGAGGGCAGGGCTCTTGCTTTTCTCTGTTTGTCCAGAGCTGAATCACTCAGCTACAAATAATTAAGCAAAATCCGAGCCAGGCACATAGTAGGTCCACAACAGGTATCTTTTCACTTGTTCATCCATTTATTCGGTGTTAAAATCATTTACAACTTGAGACCCCAGACCCTCCAACTCTATGATACTCTAGGGTCTGAGGCTGCTTCTCAGCCCAGGGACAGGAGGGTCTGAGGGTCTCGGGTTCAGAGCAGACCATCCCAGGTAGAAGAATCCTTCCAGATCATTGAGTTGACCCCCTCCGCATCTGATTTGACAGCCAGAGAATAGAAGGGATTCACTCATAGACACAGCTAGTGACCAGGCCTGGGGTTCTCAAATTCAGAGCCTCTCTTTCCATACAAGGCCATGAGGAATCTTCACCTGGGACCCCACTGTTGGCTGTTGTCCCATCCCTAATTCTGACCCCACTACAGGTCCTGGTACTTGCCCTCTGCCATCCCATTGAAGGCAAGAGAGGAGAGGAGAAGGTGCCTTCCTATCCAAAGAGATGAGGGAAAGTCAGGGGCCCCCTCTCCTAGGAAGTATGGAGGAACAGGGGAGAGGGAAGGGCAAGATGGGAAAGAGGACAGATAGTGACTTTTCTCTCTTTCTCTATTCTGTAACTTCCCCACTCCTCCCCCCTCCCCCCAAATGGAGCTTCAACAATTTAGGGATTCAGTGTGTCCGCAAGCGGGAGATTGAAGCTGCCATTGAAAGGAAGATTCAGCTCGGCATTGACCCGTACAATGGTGAGGGGGCCCTCCACTGACCCCTCCAGCCCCTAGCCCAGCCTCTCCCTGCTGGCCCCTCAGCCTCCGGGCTTCTTTCCTTCTTCCCTCCCTCTCTCATCAGATTCTCCCGTCGGGGGAGTGGGGTTGGGGGCACAGAGATCTCTCCTTCGTGACTTTCTTCGCTTGGCTCCCCCTACCCCAGCCGGTTCCCTTAAGAACCATCAGGAAGTGGACATGAACGTTGTGAGGATCTGCTTCCTGGCCTCCTACCGGGATGCCCAGGGCCAGCTCAGGAGGCTGGAGCCCGTGCTCTCTGACCCTGTTTATGACAAGAGTGAGTGCACCCTTTAGGGACTGGGGAGGCGGTGTTCATGGAAGAGCTTGATCGAGGAGGTTGGAACTATGAGGGCCCTTAGAACAGGGAAGGTCGGAACTGGGAGGGCCCTGAGAACAGGGAATGTCAGAACTGGGAGGGCCCTTAGAACAGGGAATGTCAGAACTGGGAGGAGCCTGAGAATAAGGAATGTCAGAGCTGGGAGGGGCCTGAGAACAGGGAATGTCAGAACTGGGAGGGGCCTGAGAATAAGGAATGTCAGAGCTGGGAGGGGCCTGAGAACAGGGAATGTCAGAACTGGGAGGGGCCTGAGAATAAGAAATGTCAGAGCTGGGAGGGGCCTGAGAACAGGGAATGTCAGAACTGGGAGGGGCCTGAGAATAAGGAATGTCAGAGCTGGGAGGGGCCTGAGAACAGGGAATGTCAGAACTGGAAGGGGCCTGAGAATAAGAAATGTCAGAGCTGGGAGGGGCCTGAGAACAGGGAATGTCAGAACTGGGAGGGGCCTGAGAATAAGAAATGTCAGAGCTGGGAGGGCCCTTAGAACAGTCAATATCAGGGCTGGGAAGGGCCTGAGGACAGGGAATGTCAGAGCTGGGAGGGGCCTGAGAAGAGGGAAGGTCAGGGCTGGGAGCAATCTCAATGACTCTGATTTTATGCAAAAGGAGGATTAATAAATCCAAGAAGATTGATTGTCTTGCCCAACGTAAGACATTTAGTTCTGAGGCCTCTAGGTGGTGTGCATTTTATATATGGCCTGAAGTTGGGAAGACCTGAGTTCAAATCTAGCCTCAGACATTTAGTAACTGTGTGACCTTGGGCAAGTCATTTAATCTCTGTTTTCCTCAGTCTCCTTAACTATAAAATGGGGAGAATAATAATACCTTCCTGCCAGGGTTGTTGTGAGGATCAAATGAGATCATTGTAAAGCACAGAGCATCATGCCTGGCATACAGTAGGTGCTGTATGAGGGCTTATTCCCTCCTCTTCCCCCACTCAGTGTCAGAATTTTAACCCACCTCCTCTGACTCTAAATCTAAGGCTTTCTCTGGTGTGTTCCAGCTACGTGTCTCTCTCCAAGCCTGTGGCTCCGTCTGTGCCTCAGTTTCCTTCCTTCTCGCCTAGACTCTGCGCCCTGGCTTCCCCTACCCAGACCATCGTATTCCCCTGCCTGTCCCTTTGCCAAGATGAACTGGCAGACCCTGTAGAGTCCCTTGGATGGGTTCCCTAGTCCTCACTGACATTCCAGACCTTGCCCTTCTGTGTCCCCCCCCACACACTCACTCCTTCCTCTCACTCTTGTCCCTCCAGTCTTCCCTGACCCCACAAACACAAGTCTTTCTTCCCCATCTCATGCCTAGGAAGCCCTCTCTACTTCCTCCCTTCCTGTCTCCCAGGGGGTTGGAACCCTGTCCTCCTCTTGGAAGCTCTCTGGGCAACAGTTCCCAAAGGAGGCTCCTCTGTCCCTAAGCTCTTGTCTCACTTCGGGGGTATTGCTTGGGTTCCCAGATTGCTCAATAAATTCTCCTCCCTGATCAAGCCTCTTAATCTCTCTTCCCATGCTAGGCTCCCTAGGCCTTGGCCTTCTGAACCCTTTATGGGGTCTAGAACATACTCGGTCTAAGACATCTTGTATATGCCAAAGGAGGGCTTAATGGGTGCAGAGTGAATTATTAGTGAATTAGAAGGCAGCTAAGTGATTCAGTGGATGGCATAATGGGCCTGAAGTCAGGAAGACCTGAGTTAAAATGTGGCCTTGATACTTACCAGCTGTGTAACCCTGGGCAAATCACTTAACTGCTCTGTGCCTCAGTTTCCTGAATTGCAAAATGTGGATAATAATAATACCTACCTTCCAGGTTGCTGTGGGGATCAAATGGGACAGTATCTGGAAACTGTTTTGTTAATCTTAAAGTACTATACAAATGCTAGGTAATTCCTAATGAAATGGAATTAGCAGTGTGAATCCGAGGCCTCTGGAGGGATTCAGCCTATGGTCTCTCCGAGGAAAGGGCCCAGGCTCTCTTGGTCACTGAATTTGTCAGCTGCCTCTCTCCTTCTTCCTCCATCTAGAGTCAACAAACACATCAGAGCTGAGGATCTGCCGTATTAACAAGGAGAGCGGACCCTGCACAGGAGGAGAGGAGCTGTACCTGCTGTGCGACAAGGTGCAGAAAGGTGAGGGGGCCGGGAGGGGTGAGCAGAGGGGCAGCTAAGAGGCCAACACGGGGGGCCCGGAGGCAGCCAAGGAGCAGCCAGGCGAGGGCATGGCGGGAAGGAACCTCAGAATTCAGAATGCTAGACCGACGGAATTCTGGAGGGGGAAGGGAGCGTGGGCTCATAGAATTCTAGAGTGGGAAGAGACCTTAGAATCAAGAATCCTAGAGTTGACAGAGACCTTAGAATCATGGAATTCTAGAGTGGGAAGGGAGCTTAGAATCATGGAATTCTATAGTGGGAAGGGAGCTTAGAATCATGGAATTCTAGAGTGGGAAGGGAGCTTAAACTCACAGAATTCTAGAATTGGAAGGGTCTTTAGACTCACAGAGTTCTAGAGTGGGAAGGATCTTTAGACTCACAGAATTCTAGAGTGGAAAGGAACCTTAGAATCAAAGAATTCTAGAGTTGGCAGAGACCTTAGGATCATGGAATTCTAGAGTTGGAAGGGAGCTTGGGCTCACAGAATTCTTGAGTGGAAAGGAACCTTAGAATCAAGAATTCTAAAGTTGACAGAGACCTTAGAATCATGGAATTCTAGAGTGGGAAGGGAGCTTAGAATCATGGAATTCTAGAGTGGGAAGGGAGCTTAAACTCACAGAATTCTAGAATTGGAAGGGTCTTTAGACTCACAGAGTTCTAGAGTGGGAAGGATCTTTAGACTCACAGAATTCTAGAGTGGAAAGGAACCTTAGAATCAAAGAATTCTAGAGTTGGCAGAGACCTTAGGATCATGGAATTCTAGAGTTGGAAGGGAGCTTGGGCTCACAGAATTCTTGAGTGGAAAGGAACCTTAGAATCAAGAATTCTAAAGTTGACAGAGACCTTAGAATCATGGAATTCTAGAGTGGGAAGGGAGCTTAGAATCATGGAATTCTAGAGTGGGAAGGGAGCTTGGGCTCACAGAATTCTAGAATTGGAAGGGTCTTTAGACTCACAGAGTTCTAGAGTGGGAAGGATCTTTAGACTCACAGAATTCTAGAATTGGAAGGGTCTTTAGACTCACAGAGTTCTAGAGTGGGAAGGATCTTTAGACTCACAGAATTCTAGAGTGGGAAGGGAGCTTAGAATCATGGAATTCTAGAGTTCTAGAGTGGGAAGGATCTTTAGACTCACGGAATTCTAGAGTGGGAAGGGAGCTTAGAATCATGGAATTCTAGAGTGGGAAGGGAGCTTGGGCTCACAGAATTCTAGAATTGGAAGGGTCTTTAGACTCACAGAGTTCTAGAGTGGGAAGGATCTTTAGACTCACAGAATTCTAGAGTGGGCAGAGACCTTAGGATCATGGAATTCTAGAGTGGGAAGGGAGCTTGGGCTCACGGAATTCTAGACTTGAAAGAGTCGTTAGGCTCATAGAACTCTAGCATGGGAAGGAGCCTTGGAGATTGGACCTAGTCCAAGCCCTTCCTGTTATGAGTTGAGGAGACTGAGGCTGAGCCGGGGCAGAATGTTTGCAGCCCCTTCGCTGAGTCAGCAGCAAAGCCAGAGCAAAGAGCAGAAAAGCGCGGTTGTGAGTTTGATGAGTGGGGGGGGGGGACTGGGGTGGAGGATGGCCCGCCTAGCGAGAAGCCTGGGGAAGGGGGAGGACTGCTCCTGGTCCGCCCTTCTCGCCATCCCTCTCCTTCCCTCCCCACCAGAGGACATCTCCGTGGTGTTCAGTACGGCCTCCTGGGAAGGCCGGGCCGACTTCTCCCAGGCTGACGTACACAGGCAGATCGCCATCGTGTTCAAGACTCCGCCCTATGAGGACTTGTCCATCCCTGAGCCAGTCACCGTCAATGTGTACCTGCAGCGCCTGACGGACGGCGTGTGCAGTGAGCCCCTGCCCTTCACGTATCTGCCCCTTGACCATGGTAACGCCATCCCCGTCCTCTTCCCGGCTTTGTCCCCTCCAGCCTTCAGCTCCTTCTAGCCTCCCCACCTGCCTCCCACCTCCTCCCTTGACCCCTATTCTCAAGGCCAGCTGGGGCCTCTGGAATTTCAGAGGTGGTCATGAACACCCCCCTACCCCCCAGTAAAAATCCCACTATTGAATCCTCAACAAGCCCTCCTCAATCCTCTCTTTGTGATGAGGAGCTCACTCCTTTCTAAGGCAGTCCATCTTGGGAGACTCATTTCCTCTCAGCAGACGCTTACTAAGGACAGCTCATGCCTAGGGCACAGTGCTTGGCACCGGGTCTCCGTAAGGTCTGGTCTCAGGGTGTTTGCCTAGAATGATGGGTCACATTAAGATGGTACGACCAGGAGCACGTCGAAAGGCTGGCTCCGACTATCTTCCTAGCCCCGAGGCCGGCTCACCATCTCCGTGGTCTATACAAGTTGAAATCTGCCTTCCTGTGACTTCCCTCCCTCTGGCTCCTAGGTTCTGCCTTCTGGGGCCAAGGAGAACAAAACTAATTCCTCTTCTGCGTGCCACGATGACCCTTCAAACAGAGGAGGATGCAGGCTATAACTGCCCCTCCTCTTCTCCTGGCTAATGACCCCCAGTTCCTCATCGCGTCCTCACGTCCCGTGATCTGCGGTCCTCTCCCCATTCCGGTCACCTTCAGCCTGTGGCAGAACCACAGAACATTAAAGCGGACAGCAGCTCAGCCCATACCCCAGACCAGCTCTCCCCACCAGCCTCCCTGCCCCAACTTCCTCTGGCCATTCCTAGAAGACTTTTCCCCTCATCTAACTGAAGGGAGCTGTCATGGCCCGGTTCCCCAGTCTCCTCCGGGCTAAGCAGCCCTACTTTCTTCCACTGATTCTCAGAGAGATTTCTTTCTCTGAGAGGTCCCTTCCAATTCTCAGATTCTGTGATTTTGTGATTCACTTGGCAGGAGCCATCCTGGCATTGTCCTTACCCTTTGGTGCCCACGACTCTCAGGCTTCTAGGTGGGACCTAATCAGAAGAGATACCCCTAGTACCATCCCTTCCCTGTTTCTAAATATCATTCTTTGTTTCATTCAGCTTACCCTCACATTCTTTTTCGGGGGCTGCCAGGTTGAACCCACCCCGAGCCCACTATCCTGCCCCTACCCCTCCAGTTCCTACCTAGCTTTGTCTCTTCCTCCTGCAGACAGCTATGGTGTGGACAAGAAGAGAAAGCGAGGGATGCCAGATGTCCTGGAAGAGCTGCGCAGCTCAGGTGGGGAGCCCATCTCTTCACCACCCCTGCCTTCCCTCCCTCCATTTTTCTGCCAAAAATAAGCCGTCTCCGGCCCCCTGAGAGGGGGTGGGTTGCCCTAGATAGACACATTCTGGGCTGGGCCAAGCCTCACTTGGGACTCCCATGTCAGGGCTGGGACCCTAGAGAAAGGAGTACGGGTGGTAGTGTCAAGGAGTAGAAAACCCTCTGAACTTAGAGTCAGGAAGCCCCATTCTAATCCCAACTCTGCCATCGATCGATGGCTGACCTTGGGCAAACTTCAGCTTGGAACCTTCCGGTGATGGGGAGCTCGCTCCCTCCCGAGCCAGCGCACTCCCCCTGGAAGCAGTTCTGATTTCTGGGTAGTTCATTTCCCCTCAACAGGCACTGAAAACCGACTGGCATGCGGAGCGCAGCGCTTAGTGCCTCCCAGAGCCTCAGTGTCCTCATTTGTAAAGTAGAGCAGGAGGGCGAGAGAGTAAGGCACCGAAGGCCGCTTAGACAAGATCTGACCCAGCTGCTTCATTTTCCACACAAGGGACGTTGGAGCCCACAGAGGGAAAGCTGGCAGCAGAGCACATTTCAAACCCAGGTCTCCTGGGATGGTTGGCAGGAGAATTGCCTTCTCAGCCTTAAAGGGCCAGAGAACTGGAAAGCTGGGTGTTTAGCAGCAAAACTGTTAGCAGGGGACTTCAGGATTCTGAGCCTCAGTTTCCTCCCCTGTTAGATGGGATTACTTGAGAGTAGTTTCATGGCCTTATTTGTGGGGTTCTGGGACGAAAGAGCTTTCCAAGTGGAAAAGTGCCCAGGAAATGGGAGCTGCTGCTGCTGTTATTATTATCATGATTGGTGGTGGTGGTGCTGATTCCTCCCGCAGACCCTCACGGCATCGAGAGCAAACGTCGGAAAAAGAAGCTGGGCTATTTGGACCATTTCAGCCCCACGTCTAGCGCCCGTGAGTCTGAGGGATGGAGGGGGAGGGGAACACTGGACAGTGAGAGCGCTTGGCCCCTCCAGGGCGAGGCTAGGGCCCGAGGGACACCCTTCCCTGCCCCTGCCCCTCATGACAACCTCCCTCGGGCTTTGCAAAACCCTCTCTACGTCTCGCCTCTCTCAGGCTTATCAGTTCCATTTGACAGAGGAGGAAACTGAGGCGCAGAGAGGGAGACTAGACTAGCTTCCTGTTCCAGCTAGTCCTCACTTAACAGCCCAGCAATGCCAATCCCAGGCTAATTGAGACAATGACTAGCTTCAGGACAGGAGCAGAGAACAGAATGCACCCACCGACTTTGACAGTGTCTCCAGGTAACGGTGATAAGACCCAGGAGGCAAGCGTTTATTAAGTACTCCCCATGTAGAGCGCACCATGCTAACAGCTGAGGAGACTCGATCCCCGCCTTTCAAGAAGCGCACATTCTCACGGGAGGAGTACAGAACTGGATACGTACAAGATCTATAGAGTAGATGGAAGGTTATCTCAGAGGAGAAGGCAGCTCTAGCAAAGGAAGAGCCGTTCAAAATGACCACAAAATGGAACACATGTATCTAGGAGTCGGTCTGCCTAAGGACGTCCAATCCCTGTAGAGGCATATTTACAAAGTGCTACTCAAAGAAATGGAGAACGACTTAGATGACTGGAGGGGTGTTCAGTACACACGGCTGGGACATGTCACTAGGATAAAAATGTTGATGCTTCATAAATTAATTTATAGGTTTAGTGTTCTCCTAATCAGAGTGGCAAGAGGATAGCTAACAGAGCTAGACAAAAGCATAACAAGATTCATTTGGACGAATGAAAGGACCAGAATCACTCGGTGGGCAGTAATTAATCAAGGGTCTATTATGTATCAGGTGATGGGGATACATGTATGATAGATGACAATCCCTGTTCAAAAGGCACTTACATTCTACTGGGAGAGACAAAAGGACCTCTATTTGCATATGCAGAAACTGTAAGGGAAACAAATACAAGCTATAGAGACTATACACGGCAGCTCGGCGGGGAGGACGCTAACGGGTGGAGGCGTCAGGAAAGGCTTCATATTAAGAGTATCAAAGACACGCAGCCCCTAGGTGGCGCAGTGGATAAAGCTTAGGAGGATCTGAATTCAAATGTGACCTCAGACACATAACACTAGCTGTGTGACCCTGGGCAAGTCACTTAACCCCAATTGTCTCATAAAAAAGGGAAAAAAAACATCAAAGATCTTCTAGCTCCTTATCTTCCCTTTCCCCTTTTCTTCTTAGTAATTATGAAGGATGAGTGTGTATGTGTGTTTTTATATGCACAGATATTTCCTTTGGTCCAGACCTGTGACTTCATGGAGGTTGGGAACCCCACCCCATTGGGGAGTAATCAGTTATGAAATTCAGAGTCTTTGAAGGCTGCCTGCGGGCCCCTGAGAAGTTAAGGGACCCGCTCAGGGCCAGACAGCTAAGATGCATCAGAGTCACGACTTGAACCTGGGTTTTCCGGACTCCGAGGCCATCAGTCTCAAAGAGTAGTGAGGGCCGCTGAACTGCAGGCAGTGGGCTTTGTGTCTGACCCGTCCGGTTCCTGAGTCGGTCGGTCACGGTTTCAGGTCCCACCTGTGATCCTTAAAGGTTGTGTGACTCTAGGCAAGTGCCTGATCCCCTCAGTGCCTCAGAGAACCCTCTGGAGACTCGAGGTTGCAGAGAGACAGGAGATAGAAGGAAAGGCAGAGAACTCTGAATGAAAACAGAAGTTCGCCATGGTACCCTAAGCAGTGTCAGCGATTCTAAAGCTCAGAAGGAACTGGGGCCAGCCAGCCCGGAAAGCTAAGGAAGGGAATAAGCTTTTAGATAGCGCCTGCTATGTGCCAGGCGACGTGCTAAGTGTTTTACAGATATTGTCTCATTCGATCCCCAAGACAGCCCTGTGATGTAGGTGCTGCTATTATCTCCATTTTACAGTTGAGAAAACTGAGGCAGACGGAGGTCAAGTGACTGGCCTAGGTCACACAGCCAGTAAGTGTCTGAGACTGGATTCAAACTCAGGTCTCTCTGACTCCTGGCTTTCTCCATTGGGCCACCTAGCTGCTCTTAGTATCCTTTCCATTTACGTTATTATAGTCATTATGTTTATTATCTTTCTAGTTCTTTCTAGTTCTACCTTGTGTCGGTTCGTGTGTTGGTATGACCTGTTCTTGATGAAGACACGCTTGTTCTTGCAATCACTGCTTCCTTTTCTAAATGTTTATACACCATCCCTTTAATAATAATTTAATGATAATGACAATATTTAATAATATTTATAATAATATTAATTTACCAGACTTGAAGTCCAGCTCACTGGCCTTTAATTTGCTGGCTGTGTTCTCTTTTTATTTTTATTTTTTGCAGATCTGGGCAACATTTTGTTGTTTAGTTGGTTTTCAGCCATGGTCTGACTCCTCCTGACCCCATTTGGGGTTTTCTTGGCAAAGATGCTGGGGCGGTTTGCCATTTCCTTCTCCAGCTCATTTTACAGATGAGGAAACTGAGGCAAACAGGGTGAAGTGACTTGCCCAGGGTCGCACAGCTAGGAAGCGTTTGAGGTCACATTTGAACTCAGGAAGATGAATCTTCCTGAATCCAGGCCCCGAGCTCTAGCCACTATGGCGCCCCCTAGTGGCTTCTGGGCAATATTTCTCCTCCAGTTCTATGGTACGTCTCCCAATCTCTGTGATCTTTCAGTGATGGTGACTTGGCAGTGGGGTATGCACTGCTTCTTTTATTACGCAAGGGTATACTGTCAAGGGTGGCCAGGTGCTTGTCCTACCACTTCCCTCCTTGTCTTGGGCACCAACCCCCATTGCCAATCCAAAGATCATTCTCCTTGGTAGAGAAAATAGAAGCTGCCACAGCGTTGACAGACTCAGCTTGACAGCCCTGCCTGCTCTCTTGTTTTTTTCTTAAGCAGCCCACACACCCTGATCCACCTCCTTTCCTCAGTGTAGTTTAAAAAGAAAAACAACCAAGCCTCTTTGTCATCCTTTTCTTGCTAGCTTGCCCCAGCCCCTTCAGAGCTGTAGAATTCCAGGCACTGAGCTTAGAGGACCATGGCATGCATTTGTTTTCACTCTGTTCCCTGCCTTTTCGGCGTCTTTTTAAAATCAAAGCTGAGTCCTCAGCTCACTATGCAGCCATATCAGTCCTGTTGGACAGCTCTCTCTCTTCCCCCTCCATTTGTTTTTGTGTCTTCAGAATTTCATTCTCGAGGGGCTCCCATCTCTCCTAGGTTTAATTCTGCCGTGGAGTTCTGAGGCAGGGAACCCTACCTTTCCATTTTCCTAATCCTTTGAAATCTCTTCTGCAGAACCCTAAGGTGTACATTACATAATGCTGCAATCTCTCAGCTCTTCTGTCATCAATTCTTAAATGGAATGATCCCTTCTTATCGTGTTAGAATGCTAACTGCGGGGGACGGGGAGCCAGGGGGAGGCTGGTACTTTGCCTCAAAGGCCATGAAACTTAGGGGGCCCTGACAGTCTTTGAAGCAAATGAAATTAATGCCTGGTTAGCACTTTAATTCAAATTGGAAACTTGAGGGTGGACAGCTCCCTTCCCCTTCTGGAGTTCCTATGTGGGCAGTCCCTTCTGCAGTCCCTACTACCCTACATGAGTTGATCCTTCCTAACTAATCTCACTCTGTTTCCCTCCCTTTCCCAGCCACCCCATTGGGCTCCCTGAATCCAGAGGGCCTTGAGGTCACATCTCTCGTGCTGGCCATGGATGTATTTGGGGTTACTTGCCCTGATCCAGGTGCAGAAATTGCTAGTTAGGTCTCTACCCCAAGGAGTGTGCAACTGGTGATATCCCAGCCCAAGAAAAGTCCATCTCCTCTGCTCTAAGATTCCTTGTTAATGAGTGCCAGTCAAATCGAGAACGGAAATACTCCTCTTCATTCTTATAGTTACGACAAGTCAAGAGAGTGTTTAAATGTCTTGTAGATGGACCTGAGAAAGAAGAATGAGATTTGTTGACTCCTGAGAGCAGAACTGGGGCCAGTGTATGTGTGTGGCTGGGGTGGATTCTGGGAAAGTGATGCTGATTTCAGTTCAGTAGACTGGAAGACAGTCAGAGAAGCCCAGCCGGGAACAGGCTGTTTAAAAAGGATTAAATAGGGGCAGATAGGGGGGCAGATAGATAGAGCTCTGGCCTTGGAGTCAGGAGGACCTGAGTTCAAATCTAGCATCAGACACTTGACACAGACTAGCTGTATGACCTTGGGCAAGTCACTTAACCCAGATTGCCTCACCAAAAAAAAAAAAGGATTAACTAGACTATCCTAGTATTATTTGATGTCTCATAGTAACACCCTAGTGTGCTACCTCGTCTTAGTAAGGAGGTGAGGTGGAGGTAAGCCTTGATTCACCCAGGATGGGATAGGCTCTCTAGAATGTCCTAAGAGCTGGCAAGGCTTTGAGTGCAGCCCTGGCGATGGACCACATGGCTGTTGTCTGAGTACTAGTCTTAACCCCATCTGGACAGGCCTAGCCCTATAGGCTGGCTACAGGAAGATGAGTCTTCTTTCTTTTCTTTATTTCTAGCTTACCAGCCCTCTTACTAGCCGTAGAACTTTGTTGTTGTCACTGTTCAGGTGTTTTTGAGTAACGTCCAACTCTCTGTGATCCTATTTGGGCTTTTCTTGGCAGAGGTACTGGAGTGCTTTACCATTTCCTTCTCCAGCCCATTTTACAGATGAGGAAACTGAGGCAAATAGGGTTGCACAGGGTCACATGGCTGCTAAGTGTCTGAGGCCACATTTGAACTCAGGAAGAAGAGTTTTCCTGATTACAGGCTGGCACCCTATCCACTATACTGTCCAGCTGCCCCCTAACTTGCCTTGGATGACCTCGGCTAAGCCTTTCCTTGGATCTCAATTTCCTCAGCTGTAAAATGAAATTAGACCAAATGACTTCTAAGGTCCCTTCCAGCTTTATTCATCAGTGC